ACAGGTACACCTTCTCTTTTGTGCCTAGTAAGATGTTTATGAAACAGACCTCAGAGTGTGTATGAATAAAGATTATATAGAAAGTCAAAGAAATAATTACCAGTTTTGGAGAAAAGCAAATGTGTATTTCTCAAACTCCTATCAACTTTGAACCATCAATCCTGTGAGTGTTCACTGACTATAGCACTAGTATTTTTTGGAGAAAAAAAAGGTCTCTAAAATCTCCAGAAGTATTTTTGACAAAGAATACATATTTTCTTATTTTATATTAGTTTTTAAAATGTAACTGTATTAATGATATTTATCTGATTACAACATGGAAGCTGTTTGAGTTTTCTCATCTTGTGTTGAACAGTGAATGAAATTTCACAGAATTGTTCATGGCCTTAATCTTTAGAGAATATGCAATTACGACTGCTACTTCATACAGTCAGACTATAAAACCACATGTTTGTTGAACAAATGAATACTGTATGTTGTGCACCATGGTTGTTAACTCTCTGGTCTGTTTGCTTCTAAACATTATCAAATGCTTATTAGACTTATAATTTTCTTAGCTGTTATATTCTTACCCTTTTATTTGCTCTAGGCAAAAATAATTATAATCCACCTTTAGGAGTCTCAAAAACTAAAGCACTGGCTATGCTTACTCCATACTCAACTATCTTCAAGTATTTTTCAACTTCACTATTTACCCTACCAGAATATGTCATTTCCATTACCAAAATGATATCCAAAATTTTCTCACTGATATTTTTATTAAGAGTTAGAAATCTGGAGACAACAGATGCTGGAGAGGATGCGGAGAAATAGGAACACTTTTACACCGTTGGTGGGAGTGTAAATTAGTACAACCATTGTGGAATACAGTGTGGCGATTCCTCAAGGATTTAGAAATAGAAATTCCATTTGACCCAGCAATCCCATTACTGGGTATATACCCAAAGGATTATAAATCGTTCTGTTATAAGCACATGTATGTTCATTGCTGTGCTGTTTACGATAGCAAAGAGAGAAGGAAGGAGGGAAGGAAGGAAGGAAGGAAGGAAGGAAGGAAGGAAGGAAGGAAGGAAGGAAGGAAGGAAGGAAGGAGAGAGAGGAGAGAAAGAGGAAGAAAGAAAGGAAGAGAACGGAAAGAAACAAGAATGAAAGAAAGAGAGAAAGAAAGAAAGAAAGAAAGAAAGAAAGAAAGAAAGAAAGAAAGAAAGAAAGAAAGAAAGAAGGAAGGAAGGAAGGAAGGAAGGAAGGAAAGAGAGAGAGAGAGACAGAGAGAAGGAAAGAAAGAAAATTTTCTGGACATGATGCCACACACCTTTAGCCCAAAAGCCCCATGTACTCAGGAGCCTGAGGAAGGAGGATTGTTTGAGCCCCAGAAGCAGAGGTGGCAATAAACCAGGATCATGCCATTGCACGCCACCCTGAGTAACAGAATGAGACCTTGTCTGGAAAAAAAAAAAAAGAAAAAGAAATAAAAAGAAAATTTAGTGCATAAAGTTTCTTTGAATTTTAACGATTACTTGATAAGATGAAAATTATTAATAATATCACAGGGACTTCAATCTTATGTCTCCCCTTCAAATTTTGACTTAGAAAAGATGTCCTAGTCATCTAACTGTCAATATTTATGTGTGGTTCATTAATGTATTACAAATATTTTAACAGATGAAATGCAATACAAATACTCCTTGTTGTTCTATTTCTATATTAATCAACACCATTTCTTCTCAGAAACCACCACCATATTGGATTTTCTGTTTATCATTTCCAGGTACACTTTTATTATACACAATTGCATTACTAAGCAAATGATTTTCTTTTTGATTTTAAGTTGTGAAACATCACATTTATCCCTTTAAACATGTTTGTTTTCATAGTTTTGTTTCATTATCTCCAATTTAGTACATACAGCTCTCGTTCATGCAATTTAAACTCGTGTGTAACATTTTATTCTATAAAAATACAACACTTCACTTTTTCATTTTCCTATTAATGAACATTTAAGTTTTCCCTATATTTTGTGGGTCTTAAAATGGTATTATAATTGTATTAAAATGAATATTGTCTCATTGTCTGCTTGTCCCAGATTTAACTGGAAAGGGAATTTGGGAGTCCAGTTATATGTGTGTATTTAGTTTTTCTAGATATTAACCAAATTGCTATTCAAAATTATTATTTGAATCTTCACTCAGACAAGCAATAAATAGCACTACTAAGTATTACTAAGGCTTTTAATATTTGCTAATATGTCTGAGATCAGTAATATTTTATTTTTTATTTTAATTAGAATTCCACAGTAACTACTAACACTGACCACCTGTAGACATTTGTGTGCTCCTGTTTTATTTCTTTTTTGTTTGGTTTTGCACTTTTTGTCAATTGCTTGCTACTTGTCTTTTATCCATTAGTCAATAGAAATTCTTCTTAATTTCTGAATAGCGCTTTTTATATGTAAGCCATAGCAGTCATTGAAAGGACTCTACACTCACAGCCCCTCTCATTCATCTCTCACACTCAAGTCGACTTCCCTGAATGTTCTACTCACACAGAGTAACTCAAAGTGCCAGATGAAGTCCCAGAAGCATCTCAACCAGTGAGCATGAATTTTTGGCAAATAAATATTCCACTCTATTTCCCCTTAAGTGGGATAGCTCTGACACCTGTTCCCACTAGCTCACACAGGTTCCAAGCAAAATTACGTTCCCAATGCCTGTGGTGGTAACTGGATTGATCACACCTGGTCTTCATTGGCTTCATCCCCCTCCATCTTTTCACCTCCCAGTCCCTCTCATGGAGCTTCCCTGGACTGCCTCCAAAATAAATGTAAGTACCTCATACCAACATTTGTGCCTCAATTCAGTTCTGTAGTAGCCCAACTAAAACATATACAGTTTGAAAAAAAAGTTTAAAGAAAAAAAAAACACAAGTCTGTGGCTCAGGGTTTTGCTTTTTAGATACGTTTTGTTATTTAAAAAGAAAAGGCAAGGTTATTACTGGCTAAATTTGTTAATGTTCATGATTTTTCCTTTTATTTCTGAATCATTTTCTAAAAACTCCTTCAAAACATTATCATTAGAAAGACATTCTTCTATACTTTCTTCTAAAAATTTCCTGTGCTTTTTATATGTGCTTAATCCACCTGGAATTTATTTTTTCACAGCGTGAGATGAAGATTGATTATTCTTCATAGGAAGATGGAGAACAAATCAATGCAGCACTATGTATTGAATTGCCATTCTTTTCTAACCTATTATTAGTGTCCTACGTTTTTGAAATATGAAGTTTCCATATGCGAACCACACTTATGAGCACTTAATTCCACTGAGGCAGTTTTCGTTTCTGGGACAGATACAACACTCTCTTTATTTTACAGCTTTGTAATGAGCTTTGTTATCTGATATGGCAAGTCTGTTTTAATAACTTTTTAAAAATTTTCAAGTCATATTCTTTGATTTTTTGCATTTACCTGTTTGTTTAATTTCAGTGGATCCTTCATAAATTATTGCTTTATTTTAAACAGCTATTCTTTCACTATTTACTTGATACTAAATATAATCATTTAAAACATTATTTGAGGAGAATATATGATCTGAAAGTAAGTTTTGTTTTTGAAACTAAACGCCTTATTTTGGGCTTTCAACCTAGTATTTTATTCATTAATCCATGCTATGCTTGAAGCAGACATGTGAACTCACTTGCTATCTTCTGCTTTCCTTCTTTAAAGTCAAAAGAAACATAACTTAAAGTTCTATATGATATTCTAAAAGGGGTTTGCTTCTGCGTTAGCTGTATATAATAGTCCCACAGAATATAATTGAATGTATTCCCCTAGCTATTATAATTGTCCCCTAGAATATAAATGAAATAAACCTCTCCCAATTCCATAAGTGGTGTCTCTGATTTCATGTATATTTTACGGCATTTAATAAGTACTAAGTCAATTAGCTAAAAATATAAATATTTGCAATCAATAATTTCATTGATTTAATCATAATTCATTCAATTAAAAATTTTATTTATTTACTCATAATTCTATTTTTTATAGGCAAGAATTTGCATGCAACCGCAATTTTCTTCTTTCATTGGTCAAGAAGAAGAAAAGCAGCTACTGCTCATCTTAGCCCATTGTGATATGCCACAATTTCAGTGTGTTACGGATTTCTAATGTAAAACTTTCTTACTTCCTGTCAGTTTTATTTACCAGAAAAAAAAGCACATTGGTTTACTTCAGAAAATATTTGGTTTTATTTGGTTTTAATTTTTGCATTTTAAAATTCCTGGACTCATTATTCATGGTGTGAATAATTTCAGTGATATTCTGTAATTTAATTATCAGAGAACAACTTTGGTTTTCCCATAAAGCCTAAGTCTACAACTGTAACTATGATTATCTTAACCTGTTCTCTTGTTCTAACTGGCATATTTAAAGAGGTAAAGTCCAGGGCAAGTGAGCAATGTCTGCCCTACCCAGAATGTTTTCTTAGAAGAGGAACACATATTTTATTCCTCTTATGACAGGTACTCCCATGCATTAACTTCACATGAGTGTCATAAAAAGTGTGCAACACTGTTGATTGTTTCCATAAGGAATATATGTATATGTATATGGATATAGATATGGATATGGATATGTACACAGAGAGAGGAGGTATATGTTAGACTTTATATACATCTGTACATAAGTTATTTTTAGAATATCTATATCCACATACAAGAAAAATATCTTAAGAGTTATCTGAGTCAGAGGGTAGAAGGTTGATCTGTTAGGAACTGTACGAATATCAAATGCATGTGCCCGTGACTAATCTGTCTGTCATGAATTTCACATTTTTCTTATTAGTTCTCAAAATGATAAAGTGTCTTTTTTGTTTACAATATGAATTTAATTTTATTCACCTTGGCAAATGTCCTGTTCAGGTAGTTAACATTTACAACTCTAGGCATCTTTACTCATTTATACCTTCTTAAAGATTAACCACCCTTTTAATGATATTTAATGTATAGAGACATAATTTTGCCAAAGGGACATACACAACTCACTTACACTGACTGGTATGAGTTTGGGCAGGTGGTTTGTGCTTTACACATCTTTAAAAATTTGAGAGATTTTGCTCTTCAACTGGTAGAGTTATTCATATTCTTTTTAAGTTCTTAAATTAGCAAGCCTTCAAAACCAAAAATGGAGTCAAAAAGAAGTGTATCTTCTAGGCACCATTCTCTTAGCTCCTATGAAATCATGTTTGCAGCTCTCTTTGCCATATTGATAGTGCTCTGTGCTGGATTAATTGCAGTGTCCTGGCTGACAATCGAGGAATCACAACAAGGTAAGTCACATGGAGTTGGCTCATAAAGGTGCTCTCAGTGGAATGTACACACTTGAATGTCAGTTATCCTGTAAGTCTATTTTATTCATTGCTGTGGCTTCATGACAAGATATTTGTGTTGCATTCACATACTTCTCTGTAGTTCCCTTCGGAGAATATTAGGAAAATTAATTGGTATGTAATTTGAATAAAGCTTAACCCAGAATTCAAGCATGTGACTATTTTAAAAAATGTTAAAGAAATTCCTTTGTTTCAACATATAATCAAGTAGATTTCATGATCTCTGATTTTGTTTTCATATAATTTAAATCACAAATATATTAATATGTTGTTGACTATATAAGTATATAAACATGTAAAGTTAACAAAAATATGGTTTATTTCTATAGATTAAAATCTTCATTCTCTTATCAGTCTAACCATTTTAATTCTACTAATGTAAAAGAAATTGTATGTAAATGTAGACTTAAAAAGATCACAAACTGTCTGAATAGCAACTTTGATAAACAGAAAAAAAAAAACATAAGAAATGATAACTCTTATTTAGAGCTCACTTTGTACCAACAGCTTTTAAAAGACCTTGAAATGTATTGGATAGCTACAACGTATGAATGGTTATTGCTATACTCATTTCACAGATGGAGAATCTGAGACAGGGACTAGAAGTAACTTGCTTAAGTTGGGCAGCAGAAGTAAGATTCCAAATTAGACAACCCAGATCTAGAACTTATAGTCCATCTTGGCACTTATTCATTTATAGGGTAAATTTTTAAAAAATGAAAGCATAGCAATAACCTCAATACTAAGAGTTTTTTCTCAGACAATTTTTTACATTTTTAAATTGATGAACTATATAGGGGCATAAAAGTTCTTTCTAAAAATTCACAGGGTAAGATCTTTCACATGTGAGTGATTTTAGTTTCACCAATTAAATTCTCAACTGTTGGGTTAGCTATTTTATTCTAGTATGTTAAGAAGTTTAAATTAGAATGTAATGCATATACTGTAGTTTTATAAAATAATATTAGTATAATTCCTGGTCATTTTAAAAAGTATAGCCATACACAAGGGTTATATTTTTTTAATAACTGTGTGGATATTTCATATAATTATACAAACTACTAAATGATAATACAGATTGACTTAAACTATTAAAAAATAGCTGTTTTGGTCTTATTGAATGGCTGTGAATAATTTGAAGGATCTATAAGCATTTGAAAGTCCATTGGAATCCCTGATATTCAATAAACATACAAAGGTTAGTTATTTTACAAGTGAAATAGAAAATAAGCATTTATAAGTGGTAATACAATTTAACAGTGAACAACTAAATATAAAAAGAGATTTGAGTTAATGCTTTACCAATACACCAAAGATCATAATGTATACAACCTTCTTTTTCTTTTTAAACTGTTATTTTAGATTCAGGGGATGCATATGTAGGTTTGTTACGTGGGTATATCGCATGTGTTGAGGTTTGGAGTGTGAATGATCCCATTATTCGGGTACTGAGCATAGTATCCAGAAGTTAGTTTATCAACACTTGCCCTCTCACCTTCCCCTTCTGGCAGTCCCCAATGTCTATTGTTACTTTCTTAATGTCCATGAGTACCTGCTGTTTAGCTCCCACTTATACTTGAGAACATGTGGTATGTGCTTTTTCTGTTCCTGCATTAATTTTCTTAGGATAATTGCCTCTGGCTACATCCATGTTGCTGCAAGAAACATGATTTCATTCCTTTTTATGGCTGCATCTTATTCCACAGTGTATATGTACCACATTTTCTTTTTCCAATAAATCATTGATGGACACCTAGGTTGATTTCATGACTTTGCTATCATAAACAGTGCTGTGATAAATGTCTGAGTGCATGTGTCTTTTTGGTAGAATGACTTATTTTCTTTTGGATGTATACCCAGTAATGGGATTGCTGGGTCAAATAGTATTTCTGTTTGAAGTTCTTTGAGAAATCTCCAAACTGCTTTGCACAGTGGCTGATTTACTGATTTACATTTCTATCAACAGTGTATAAGTGTTCATGGGTTTCTACAGCCTTGCCAACATCTGTTGTTTTTCACTTTTTGGTAATAGCCATTCTGACCAGTAAGAGATGGTATCTCATTGTGGTTTTGATTTACATTTCTCTGATGATTAGTGGTGATGAGTATTTTTTTTCAAATAGTTGTTGGCCACTTGTATGTCTTTTTTTAAGAAGTGTTTGTTCATGGTTTTTGCCCATTTTTTAATGGGTTCATTTTTTGCTTGTTCAATTAAGTTCCTTGTAGATTCTGAGTATTAGACCTTTGTCAGATGCATAGTTTGCAAGTATTTCCTTCCATTCCATAGGTTGTATGTTTATTTTCTTGATAGTTTTTTTGCTGTGCAGACAATCTTTGGTTTAATTAGATCCCACTTGCCAATTTTTGGTTTTGTTGAAACTGCTTTTGAGGATTTAGTCTTAAATTATCTGCCAAGAATAATTTTCAGAATAATGTTTCCGATGTTTTCCTCTAGGATTGTTAGAGTTTGAGGTATTAATTTAAATCTTTAATTTATCTTCAGTTAATTTTTGTATGTGGTGAAAGGTAGGGGTCCAGTTTCATTTTTCTGCAAATGGCTAACCAGATATACCAGCACTGTTTACTGACTAGAGAGTCTTTTCCTCAGTGTTTATTTTTGTCAACTTTGTCAAATACTAGATGGCTGTAGGTGTGTAGCTTTACTTTACTGTGGTTTCTCTACTCTGTTCCATTGGACCATGTGTCCGTTTCTGTACCACTACCATGCTGTTTTAGTTACTATAGCCTTATAGTGTAGCATGAAATTTTGTAATGTGATGCCTCTGACTTTGTTCTTTTTGCTTAGGATTGCTTTGACTATTCTGGCTCTTTTGTGGTTCCATATGAATTTTAGAATCATTTGTTGCAATTCTGTGAAAAATGAGTTTGACAGTTTAATAGGAATAGCATTGAATTTTTAGGATGCTTTGAACAGTATGGCCATTTTAGCAACATTGATTCTTCCAGTCCATTAGCATAGAATTATTTCTATTTGTTTATGTTATCTGATTTTTACAGGGGTGTTTTGAAGTTATTCTTGTAGGGATCTTTTATATCCTTGGTTAGACATATTCCTAGGTATTTTATCTTTTGTATGGCAATTGAAAATGGAATTGAATTCTTGATTTGGCTCTCAGCTTGAATGTAATTGGTGTATAAAAATGCAACTGATATTGTACATTTATTTTGTATCCTGAAACTTTGCTGAAGTCATTTATCAGTTCCAGTAGCCTTTTTGCAGAATCTTGGGGATTTCAAAGCACATACTACATTTAATATTATTTGTACTTTTTAAAAAATCACTTCAGACTTACTAAAAGTTACAAAAATTATACAAAGTTATCATATAACCCAGCTTCCTTGGATGTTAATATTTTACATAATGACAGTACAATTGTCACAATCAATAAATTAACATTTCTACAATATTGTTAACTAAATCACATATGTTATTCAAATTCACCAGTTTTTTTACTAATATCCTTTACCAGTTTAAGAACCAATACAGATTCCTACATAAGATTTATTATGCTTCCTTAGTGTCCTTTCATCTGTTGTAGTCCTCAGTCCTTCCTTGTATTCTATATTTAAACACACAAACTTCAATGTAATTTTGAGTCTTTAAAATACAAATGAAATAGTACAAGTAATATGCTACATCAATTATGCAGTTTAAACTGTTTAGACTATTTACACATATACTGCTTGAATTATTATTTCTAATTATCCTCTTGACTGTATAGTTTGGTGTCAGCATATTACATAGAGATCCTAGGTTGTGGAATCAGACATTTCAATGACCAAATCCCAGATCTGATGCTTAAAACCTTTACTATCTGGAGAAATTTTCTTAATCATTCTAAATCCCAATTACCCCATATCAGAAAAGAAAAAATAATGTCTTCTCACACCAGAATTTCATATCTTTATTGTTATATTAACTAATGATTTCATCATTGTGTGAGTTTCAGTTGAAGCAATTCATTTTAAAAATAAATCAGTATCAATGAAAATATGCAGATAAAGGGATTATGCAGGACTTAATGACACATTTTATTACTCATGTTTATATTTAATTTGTTAACCTTCTTTTTTTACATTTTTCCCCTAGTGAGGTAATCTATTTTCCATAGCATTCTAAATAACGTCTTCAACAAGGACAGTCACCAGCTAATGGCACAAGGTCATGCATGCCAGTTTTATAATTATTTGAATGAAAGAAGTAGCTTCAAAGTCATGTTTCAAAGTTACCAAAACACTGGAACTTCACAGCAATTCATATGTCAAAACCCAGTGGTGTCCCTGGATGCTAGGTGTTCCAGAAGTATCTGAAAGCAACTACAAAACTTTTAATGGTTCACTTCTCACCATGTTTCCCTGAGTCACTTCCCATAATTGGTGAGAGTTGATCAGTCCATGTATCTTCCAACAGGAATCTCAATAACAATAATAATGAAAACTTGGAAGCTTGGAGTGAGGGTTAGACTTCAAAGAAAAGAAAAAAACATATATTGAAAGAATGGAAAAAAGTTTAGTTTCCAATCTTTTAAAACAATCAGACAGGTGGGGAAAGAAAGCAGCTGGTTTTGAAACACGAGACTACAAAGAAAAAGTAAGAGCCACAGAGCTAACACATCAAGCAATAGCTTTACTTCTAAGTCTTAACAGTATGTGCATATTTTTCTCCTACTCATAATCCAAAATCTTAGTGTTTTTTTCTTATTAATTTATCCAGGTGCAGCACTTGGACAAAGTCATGAAGCCAGAGGGACATTTAAAATAACATCCGGAGTTACATATAATCCTAATTTACAAGACAAACTCTCAGTGGATTTCAAAGTTCTTGCTTTTGACCTTCAGCAAATGGTAGGAGACTGTCTCTCTTCAGGTGGTTTAAAATTTTATAACAAAGTTTAACTAACTACTTGCCGAAGACACTATTTTCTCACTCTGAAACAACTAGAAAATAAATGTAATATGCCCAAGATTACTATGGAAAAAATTGCCCCAATTGTAAGCAGTACTAAAGATTGCCTTATATAAATTTTTGAACAAAAGTTAAAATCTTAAATTAAGCATATTTATTCAACCTTTTATTTTTTTCTAGATAGATGAGATCTTTCTATCAAGCAGTCTGAAGAATGAATATAAGTACTCAAGAGTTTTACAATTTGAGTGAGTACAGCTCAAAAATTTTCTGACAGAAAATTATTGATCTTTTTGCTAATATTTGTAAAATAGCATCATTAGATATAGGAAAAGAGGAATATTTAAATTTTTCAACTTTTTGAGCATCAAGCAAAGTGGCACAGCATAAACTTATATCTTATTAGCAAATAATAATAACTTCTGATATTTCATCTTATGTTAATATGTTTCCCTCTTCTGACAATAAAATCTTGCAGAGACACAAAAAGAGGGCTGAGGTTAAATGTATTCAGATGCACATATAGCATTTGATTTGTGAGAAACATTTTGTAAAAGCTCAATTATCAATTAAAAGTAATATTGTATCACCCTGCTTCATTATACTACAAATACCAACAGAGAAGATACTTGTTCAGTGTTGTATGCCCAGAAAGCATAAGACTGCTTAAAGCAAAGTAGATGCTCAATAAATACTGAATCTTAGATTAAGACTGTACTGGGATGTAATTCCAGTATGAATATTTGAATCCATGATATATGGAAATTATTGTAAGAACACAATACAAGATCAATTTTCTAAACAATTCGCTTCTGTATTTCTCAAAGAAAAATTGATCTGTGCGTTGTTGTTGCTGTTGTGTCCATGAAAGAGAGTTTGACAATCTTGCTGACATTTCTCTGAACCTAAAGTTTTCTAAACTACAAACTCTTAAAGGGCTTTTGGAGTAGAGACACAAGTCAGCAGGAAAGTTAGGAAAAAAATATACATAATATAAAAGAAAGAAAAATATAAATTTATAAAATTAAGTTAAAAATGAAAAAGACACAGGGAGAGGGTTCCAAGAAAAAAAAAATAAAAGACTGATCAAGACCTAGGGCATCTGAAGAAAGGAAGAGAGCAAATCCTTCATAATAATTCACATTTAAAAAGCACAGAAGACAATCTTCCAGCAGCTTTGGGAAAACGCAGATCCTATGACAAGCTGGCAAAAAGGAAACTCACTGGTTGAGTCTCTATTTCAGGCCAAGACTTTTGTGACTTAAATAAGATGTATTTTCTTATTCATTCCTCACAAAATGAGGGAGATGCAATTATTTTGACTTATATAAATATGACACCAAGGCTTGAAATGTCACAAGTCACACAGCTAGTAGGTGTTGGGGAATGTATTTGAATGGAGTTTTGTTGTTCTGATTCAGCATATGTTCTTCCTCCATACAACAGTGTTAAAGTAGCAGAGCCCAAAGAATATAACAACTTGTAGTGAGGTTGGGTTTGCTTTTCACCGTAGATGAGTGGACTCAAGATGCAATGGAAAAGAAAACTTATCTTTTTCTACAGAAATAAGAAAAATGACAGTAAACCTGGAACAGGAAGGAGAACAAACAATGAAAGCCAAGATGAGCATGGAAAACCTGACTTTTGCCAGTTAAACACCTAAGTAAGCTAGACTGATGGCCATAGTCCCTAGTTACAGCTGCCCATCTTCCATACTGCTTTTCCATGAGAGTAAATAAGCCTTAGTTTTTAAGCAGCTGTTGCACTGCAGTTGGAAATAATTGAAAAGCTCCATGCACAGTTTGAAATGAAAGCACAATATGCAAACTCCATAGAAGAAGACAATAGCCTCCCGATAGGTTTTCCAGACATTGCTACCTATAAAACCTGAATGTTAATTAATTTTACTTTTATTCATGTATTATTTAGTATATGCCAGGGCCTTAAAATTACATATTTTTCAGGCTTTTACACAGTCAGCAATCTAGGAGAAATTATTACAGTTCCCATCTACATTGTTCATCCATATTTAAGGTTTATGTCTTCAATTAGATAAATTAAAAGGCACCATAAAAACACTTAAAAAATCAAATATGTTACATTTTGCTCCATAATAATTCCATTATTTTTTAAAAGGTTAAGATAATTTAGCCCCATCTTTTAAGAGAAAAGTGGCATGTATATAGAGAATGATGGTGCTCCAGGTATGCCAATTCATTTAGCAAACAAAATGTTTAGTTCTGATCAGAAAATCACTACATACAATTTGTTCTTCTGTGTACCATTATTACCATGTACTTGTGTATGTCACCTAATATATTCCTCACTAAGGGTTTGTGGAGTTTTAGGTTATCAACCTTTTAGGAGTTATTAATGTGTGATTCAGAGAGGCTAGGTGAGTTTTCCATTGTCATGCTGCCATTTAATCTGTCTGTCTAAAACATCCATGCTGTCCTCTACTACTAATTTTTATATTAAAAAAGTATTCAAGACAGAGAGTGAAGCAATGAAAGTTACGTCTAAAGAGTCACATATTCAGGAGTTGGCGGAACAGTGTTTGTGTGTTTCTCAGTGACTACTCTCTCCCTCCATGTGCCTGATTGTGTTCATTTCCCAAATCTCCACAGAACTTTTTCCACACAAGCCCTATGCTTGTACCTTTAGTTTTCTTTGTTCTCTACTCTGATTTCTAGCCTTGTGTATGTTAAAGTCTTCATTAACTTTATGGAAAAACTAACAGGAGAGTCTATACTCATACTAGGGTAACAATACTGAGGTTTTACATGCTTTTATTCTTTTATTTATTTATTTATTTTAGCTTTTTAATTGTTATGCATGTGCTTTTCGTCTCTGAATTAACAATGCTAGTTGTTGGACTTAGCATATAGAAAAATACTCAGAAATCAGAGTGGAATGAGTTAAACAAATGGAGAAATAACCTTTATAAGAGTCTGTCACTGGATTTAAAGGTATACTGGTTTATCCAGAAGTCTATAAGGGCTTTTCTATCATTTAGATTGTAATACTGTTAGAATTTAGTAGAAAGAGATTCATACTGCTTAAATTTGATTTTCTCATTTCATGTAGCTAACAAAAATTAGGAATCTTTTTTTCAATACTGCTGTGGATACAGCCTAATGAATAATCATGGTTATTACCATATTTTGTTTACTATGAAATAACTTTAGGTACTAGAAAATACTTTGTTATTATCACCCAGTTATTTCTTTGTTTTGACTCTCACCCACGGATCCAGGTTATAGTTACTAGTTTTTTAGAGAATAAGACTCTCCATCTTCAGATCTGTCTTTCAAATACCTAAAGACTTTTTCCAGTGCTATATCCTAAATGCAGATGCACTTCATGGCTCTGTCACCAAAGCACACTCTGGCCTTACTTTTCTTTTCCCCCACTCGCCACAAGCTTCTGCTTTAGTCCTACCGCGTCATCTGTACATCCTCAAAACCATCCTGCTTTCTCTTTTTTATCCCGGTGGGAGGTGATTGTATTATTCAGGCAGTTTCCCATATGTTCTCATGATAATGGATGAGTTCTCATGCAGTTTCCCCACTCTTTCTTTCTTTCCCTCTTTCTTTCCTTATCTATCTGTATCATTCTTTATTCCATGGCATATTTATGACATCTTAATCCCAGTAGCTGCCCCTACACCCATCTGCTGTCTTCATTTCTACCTATAGTACATAGTCCCATCCTTGTTTCCAGAGGGTCTAACCTCTTATAGGATCTTTCATCAGTCCGATATCAGAACTAAAAGGAGAAACATGAACATGCAGGAAAGGTTAATCGTTTTATCTTTTCCAAAATGATGATAAAAATGTGTACTTAGTCTTTATTATGTGAGTATAAAGCTACACAGGCAAGTTTTATTTTTTGTTGGTTCACTTTAAGCTATTTGTCTACTTTGAGGTGAATGAAACAAATTTCTCTTTTCCAGTTTTGCAGAGGATTGAGTCTGGAGATCTGCAGTCAGATTTATTTCAAAAGCCTTTAACCTCCTTTAAGGAGAGGTATGCTAGGTGCCTGCCTCTCTTGACTTTGGCTCTGCCTAGTGAAATCCATACAGAAAGCACAATGTCCATTGCAGAGGTTTTCAGAATAGTTTTGCTAATGGAATCCTTTGTGTTTACATGTCTACAACATGCTGGATAACTTCACTTACATTAGGCTGGGAACATTTGATGAATATAAGACTTTTATATATAGGCCTGGTGGGCTATCAAAATCCCAAAGTTTTCTTTGATATTTAGTAAGTAATTTCTTATTTCTCTAGATGGCAAAATCACCTTTGAAACCATAAAATTTTTGAGCTTAGGGATTGTTTGTTTCTCCTTCTTTATAGCAACCTACGAGGCTAGTATAGTGCCCAAACCTTGACAAATATTTTTAAATGACTGTCAAGTAATGTATTTCATCAGTGTAGAGATACTTCCCTCTGGTGGTAGCTGAGCTACTATTAAAACAGAAGTAAGTTTTTAAAAAGTGCAATGCAAAGGAATTTCATGAAGATGTCTGTTGATAAATTGAATGTTGCTATTTTGAGTAACCTAGAAGAGGAGGATAGAAAAAGGAATTCAGGAGCAGGAGAGAGAGTAACAGTGAAACATTTAGGACTACTTTACCTTAAATAATCACCTACAAACAGACGTATTCCACTCATAGGAAAAGGTAGCAGACTCATTATTAACTTTATCAATTATTTTAATTTAAAAATCCAATTGATAAAATTAGAAAACAGAAATAACTGAGTTCTCACCTAACAATACCCACATCAACTGTGTGTGTGTGTGTATATATATGTGTGTGTGTATATATATATATCTTTTGCCTATTTACATTTTTGTTATAGATTCTAATTAAACTCACACAACATGTTTGTATATGATCAAATTCCAGCACTCAGAATACTAGAGTTAGTCATTAAACTATTTTCTCTTACTTTCACAATATTTAATGCCAACCTCTGCCACTTACTAACTTTTATGATTGGGGTGTGTGTGTGTGTGTGTGTGTGTGTGTGTGTGTCTACTCTTTAGGGTAAGCAAATGGTTTGGTCTATTTGAGGAAAATTTCAGTCATTGGGCTTTGTGGAAAGTACTTGCATTCAGAACATTTAGCATTTGATTTTAATAAAGAACTATTTACCCTCTGTGGCAGCATGTAGTTTCTTCTGCCCTTTGAGCACAGATAAGCCACCAAGTTAGGAAAGGAAATACTTTTGTTTACTCAGCAACCCTAGAGGTTACCAATATCATTAAGAAAAATATGAAATAAACAACATTTTGCTCTATTACACTCAGGCTTCCTGTACAATGGTAATATTTATCTGCTTTAGAAAAAGATTGTTATTTTACTAGGACTAGTACTTGAAATGAAAATGGTCATTTTTTTAACCTAAGTGAAGAATTCTCATTTCATTACTAAACAACTAAAATAACAGCTTCTGCTTGCTTATGAGGTGAATCACAAATAATTATTGTGACTTTTTAAAATTTCTACTATATCTCTCTCATCTCAACATTTCCACTAAATAAGAAAATAAATTTTAAAGGCTACAACATTATGTGGATATAGGATATGCAACTCCTATCTTTGCTAAGTATAAATTATTAAATGTGATGCATAATTCACAACTAAGAGAACACACCTTTCAAAGAAAAGTGTTTTATGCCTGAGGATGAACTAATCCAGTTACTTTCAACTCAGTGAAGCAAAATTCCAGATTTGTATTTTATTTGCCTAAAGTACCATACTTCTTTTACTCAATAACTCAAAGAAAATGAAAGCAAGTGTTCAGTCAAATTAAACCTGCTAAATTACATAAAATAAAACACAGATTTAATCAGAATTTAAATTCTCTAGTCTGCAACCAAAGATAAAATGAAAATATGGGACAGAGAAATGATGCACATTGTTCACTCTGACTTCATTTTAACCATATTCAAACCTGTTCATTTAACTATCTTGGAAAGTGAGGTTGATTAGGAAGACATAATGTAAAAAAGAGAAAAAGAGTAAGAGGAAAAGAAGAAGGAAGAAGAGGAGAAGGAAAAAAGGCAATCATCAATCTTTTGAAAGTATTGAAGGAATAAAATACCTTTTCCTTCTCTGCAAAAACATCCAACCAGCTATTTTGTATACAAAGTTCTGCTAACTATGCAACAGAATAAAATACCTGGACATGCCTTTAGGGTAAATGTGCTGTAGCCTCTTGGCTGCTGACAAATAGTTCATAATAGAATTGATCACAGTGTTGTTGAGTGTGGGCGTATGCGAATTATATGAAAACACATTAGGGAAACAGATTCCCTAGGTTTCTTTTCTATCTCTTACACTAATAAGCTGTATAACCCTAAGCAAAGTTACCCACATTACTCTAAGTGGCTAAAATGAAAATATTGGCCAATATCAGGTTCAAAAATAGAGTCGTTACCTTTCTCTGGAGCTTCTGTTCGTATAGATATGGGGTAGGGCCTGACAGTTGTATGCTTGTTAGAATTTTCAAAATTCCCATTAACAGAATGCATGACTAAAAGTGCCTTAAAAATGTTTGTTATCTGACATCACAAGACATCTAGAGGCTTTAAGGGAGATTAATTTCAGCAGTACAATGACAATGATATAGTCAAGACTTTGGATACTTTCCTTCTTCCACTATGCTCTTTGGCTTGTCAACAATGGGCTGCCTCATGGACTCAAGGTACATGTGGCAGTTTCAGCAAACTATGTAGACCTAATGACATTCAACAATGAAGAGTAGTAATCAACTGCGAGCTGTTCTTTTATAAGATATTTTAAAAGTTTCCGAAAGTTTCTATTAGTCTTCCCTTTAGATTCTGTTGACCAGGTCCAGGTCATACACCCACGAATAAAATCATGTTTGGTTGTTTGGTATAAAGAATGGTTAAAGAAGATGTCAACTTTCCTAAGAAAATGAGGCTCATTCTACAGTAAAATTAGACGTCAGCCAGCCAGCACAAGTGTGGAAGAGTAGATGAAAGTAGTGTCTGTGGCAAAATTTATGATTACCAAGAACAACAGTGATTTCATGTATATTTCTCCAAACAGGAAAATCAGAATAAGTTTGGAAAACCCTAAACTAAATAGTTACTAGGGAACCTTCTTGTTTACAAGATTTAGTTACTATAATTCAAGAGAATGATTAGAAAGTAAAACCTTCTAACATTTTAAATAATTTGTTTAATATATGTGAATTATAAAAATATTATATCAAAAAATATATCTTGTTATTTTGAAAATGAGAGACCAGCTACCTAGAAAGGAATCACTGTGAAACTAAATAGTGCCATGGACGCTAAGAAGAAATATACCCCACCTAGTAGAGCTGCTGATCTATTGTGATCTTTCAGGACTGCTCCGGTTCTCTATCCAATCATGGATGAAAACAACAAGATTCACTGTAGGTTCTAGCAGGATAGATAGATGCACAGATAAATAAAGAACTCTACTGTACTTGACGAAACCCTTCAAGAAGCTCATAAATTTACATATATCACAAGAATATGTAACTCTCATAATTTGAAAGCAATAAACATATCATGCAAAATTTAGTTTTCCCTAGTCTGTCTATAGAGGAACCAAGTATGCCCTGAGTTCCCGGAGCTTATTGAGGAGTACAGAATAAATATAAGAGCTAGAGTTTGTTTCCCAAGTGGTCACACCCTAAAATGATAGCATTTGCCAAATAGAAATGTAAGCAGGAGTGCAAAAAAATCTCCCAAGTGTCCCTGTTCACCAAAAATTTATTCTTTTTTCTCTTTCTTTACACAGAAAAAGGTTACCTATTAAAATGCCTGGTACAGAGCAGGGGATAAAATAAAGGGGGAAGATGATTAGGGCTATATGGTTGAACTCTAATGCAATGTTTGCAGATCATGTAGGCAAAACAATCCCGACTCACGGACCTGAGAGTGAATATCTTGTGAGTCCCTAATAGACCCAGATATCCTTGTTTTCTTTCTATCCCTTGAAATCAGGGCATATTTTGATATTTTATATTAAGCAAAATAGATAAGTAGAGGTAGATGTAGATTAGTTGCTACAAGCTTGCTATCAGGCCTTTTAAAACTATGTAGAAAAAATTTCCCTTGAAACCAGTAAAATTGTCTTATATTTCTCCCAACTTAGAAATCACCCGTGAAAAATTACAAATCCATACTCTTCATTTCTCCAAACAGTAAAATTAGAATAATTGCCAAGATACCGCATGATTTTAACACAAGCGTCTCAGGAACATCATAGCCTGGGGATGAGTGCTCTAACGTGGAACTCAGAAAACTCAGATTTCAATTTTGCATCTACTTTGGAGTTTGTCTTCTCAAAAAAAGCATCTAGTCTTTCAATTCATTTTTTCTTTCCCTCGTGAAATAAAGATAATATTTGAAATAACATACCTTACACAGGTATAATGAGAATTAGCAAGATAAAGAAAGAAAATTTCAAAGACATTTAACATGAATTGAGCACAAATCAGTTGAAGATGTCTGACTTTTTCCTCTTATATCATCTTTTGCTTTGCAGAAATGGCAGCATTATAGTCATATTTGACCTTTTCTTTGCCCAGTGGGTGTCAGATGAAAATGTAAAAGAAGAACTGATTCAAGGCATTGAAGCAAATAAATCCAGCCAACTGGTCACTTTCCATATTGATTTGAACAGCGTTGATATCCTAGGTATCTGTGAACATTACTTTATTTCTTTGAATCATTAAGCTATGAAATTAAAATTCTATCAATATACCAGGGACGAAGTGGAATCATGCTTGACCTTAGGAACATGTCTTATTGCCTGAAGTGACACATTTGAATGAGAAAAGTAAAATATGAAGAATCCATATTTGAAGAAACTTATCAATGAGAAAAAGTTTATAAAATATCAAGGAGATTCTGAAAGTGTTGGCGTGCATAAATGTTTGCGGTTCTTATGCATTCTTTGCACTGGTCAAGCACACCCTGACTTTTCGGGAACTCTCTTTCGATATTATTAGAAGGCAAAATCATGTGGCAAGGTCCAATCTCTAATTGAGAAGCTAAAAAAGAAGGAAAAAGTAGAGTCAGTGAGTTTGATCCCTTCTTGTTACCTATTTACAAAAGTTAAATTTTTATTTTTAAATGATAAATAATGTTAACATAAGTATAAACCAAAAAAGAAGAAATGTGGGACATCAAAAACAACAACATAAAAATATGTTTATAAATGCTTATATTGTTCCAAATTTTCCATTCTAATTATCCTCCATTCAACTCAATTCAACAAACACTTACAGTGTGCTTATTTCAGTTGAGAACGGTAGTAATTTTCTAAGGTCATCGAGATTCAATCCCTTATCCATAAACCTTGGGACCAAATACTTTTTGCAATTCAGAAATTTTGGGATTTTAGAAGGTTAGCCAATACATAACCATCTACACTGAGAGGAATAAAGAGAAATTCTAAATAGCCTTCAACTAGTTGAACTAGTTGTGCTACAAAATATTGATTGGTATGTTTGCCTCTAAATTAAATACATAAAAACATACAGGAGTTTTGTTTTTTTATTTTGTTTTTATTTTCTAATAGTAGATATGAGATCTCTAGTTGCTTCTCTTCAGAGCATTGTTTCATCAAGCATAGTTTCCTCTTTCATTCAGTCTCTTGCAACATCTTACAGCTCCTGTTCTTAAGACGGTTAATTCTTAATCCTTCTCTACTGATGGTTTGGCCCCATGTCAGAGCTGCTGGAGCAGAGACTATCTACTGTGAATTTTTGATTCAGATGAGGTGAAAACTACTGGCTATTATTAGCTAGATCAGGTGGTTTACCTATCAACATTTTTACTCTCTACATTAATCCTCTTATGTGATGTCATTACTATCTCCAAATTAGGGAGGAGACCAAAATACAGACATTTTGGTAAATGCCCTAAAATCACACAGCCATTTAGACTTAGGCATTTTGACCTCTGTGGTCTGATCTTAATGTCTGTGCTCTTAACCTTTATACTAGCTTGATTGTAATTTTTTTATCTTTGAACAATGTTGACTGATTTTTTTATAGTCATTTTTCATTTTTTGGCATGGAAAAATGAATATTTTCATTTTTTATTTTTTAACTTTTATTTTAAGTTCAGGGTACATGTACAAGTTTGTTACATAGGTAAACTTGTGTCACAGGGGTTTGTTGTACAGATTATTTTATCACCCAGTTATTAAGCCTAGTACCCATTAGTTATTTCTCCTGATCCTCTGCCTCCTCCCACCCCCCATTTTCCAATGACCAAAAAGTTGTCATCTTACTGTCTTTATTTGAATGTGCATTTGTTTCTGGTGGTCCGCTCTGATAGGCGAATTGAAAGATATGTTGAAACCTCTTTTCATGATTTCCTACATTTGGATTCTCTTGGAGAATAGAGTTTGTGATTTTTAATTTTATTCAATTAAACCATATACTTTGAGTTAATTTAGAATTTGTATCACAAGTATAATAAACTGTATTATAGCATCAGCCCAAGAATACCCTCAACATGCAAAAGTTATATTTAATTTGTTGAATTGTGTAAACATATTTATAAACACAGTATCAAGCTTAATTATAGGTATTTCAGTTTAATATTCATTTGAATCGTGAATTTTTGAATTTATAAAATTTTAAAATTAGTAAAGAATTTCATAGATATCTTGAATTTTTGTACAATATACTGTCAAATGTAACAAAATTAAATCATAATCTCTAAGAAAAGCTACATAAATTTTATTTTACCTTCTTCATCAATACTCTACCATGTATCATTTACAAAACTTCAACAGGTTTTGTAGAAGCAACATAATTCTAAAATGATAAAATGCTGAAATAAAACACCTGGTTAGTAGAAGAGAGAATATACTTCTTAGCCCACCTATCATCCATATAGTTTTGAATGAAAACATTCACCACATGATGGTTTTTCATGAGATATGTTTGATTTCCTTTATATCTTGCATAGATAGGTGACTCTATCCTTTTTTTTTTTGTGACGGAGTTTCGCTCTTGTTACCCAGGCTGGAGTGCAATGGCATGATCTCAGCTCACCGTTACTCCGCCTCCTGGGTTCAGGCAATTCTCCTGCCTCAGCCTCCTGAGTAGCTGGGATTACAGGCACGTGCCATCATGCCCAGCTAATTTTTTTTTTTTTTTTTTTTTTTTGTATTTTTAGTAGAGACGGGGTTTCACCATGTTGACCAGGATGGTCTCTATCTGTTGATCTCGTGATCCACCCGCCTTGGCCTCCCAAAGTGCTGGGATTACAGGCTTGAACCACCGCGCCCGGCGGAATCTATACTTTTAAAACTATTAAACATGACAAGTTTGAAGAAAATTGCTAGCTTTTGTCTTTTTTAAAATTATATTTTAAGTTCTGGGGTACATGTGCAGAACTTACAGAATTGTTGCATAGGTACATACATGCCATGTTGGTTTCCTGCCTCCATACCCCCGTCATCTACATCAGGCATTTCTCCCAATGTTAACCCCTTCCCCCACTTCCCCACCCCCTGCTATCCCTCCCCTAGCCCCCCAACCCCCAACACACCCCAGTTTGTGATGTTCCCCTCCCTGTGTCCATGTGTTCTCATTGTTCAACACCCACCTATGAGTGAGAACATACAGTGTTTGGTTTTCTGTTCTTGTGTCAATTTGCTGAGAATGATGGTTTCCAGATTCATCCATGTCCCTGCAAAGGACATGAACTCATCCTTTTTTATAGCTGCATAGTATTCCATGGTGTATATGTGCCACATTTTCTTTATCTGGTCTATCATTGGTGGGCATTTGGGTTGCTTCCAGGTCTTTGCTATTGTAAACAGTGCTGCAATGAACATATGTGTGCATGTGTCCTTATAATCAAAACAGCATGTTACTGGTACCAAAACAGAGATATATGACCAATGGAACAGCTTTTATCTTTTATGTCAAAAGCACTTTTTACTTATAGACCACTTGGTTCCAAGGAAATATTAATTATGTGAAAGATTTTTTTGTAATTGTTCTCTTCATATGTTTTAGTATAAAACAAGTGGTTCTAGGTATGACAAGTTGTGGTGCATCATGTCATATTAGTTGGCTAAAATGTAAATTATTCTATATAACTATGATTAATAAATTATTTCTTAAATAGATACAAAAGAAAGCAAACTTTTTGCATAAGTAAATTGTATACAGAGAATATGCAGACTGTGGAAATGTATCAGATGTATTACAACCAAATAATGAATAGGAAGATTTAGCATGGGAGGGGATAAAAGAGGAACTCCAAAGGATCAGATGCCATTTGAATGAATATTCGAGTTGTACTCAATGTTTTGTAATGCATTTATGTGATAAGCCCATGTGTGAAATCAACTTTACTTTATTCCAGCATCTTTGGAGAATTTTTCTACACCAAGCCCTGCAACAACTTCAGGTCAGTGTTTATGACATTTTTAGAAATATAACTTAGTGATCATCAAACTCTATGACATTAGGAAAATATACATTTTTTTCTTGCAGCTATTTCTTAGGCATTTAATCTTCATATCAAATTGTAAGAAGCTTATATTTGGTTAGAAAAAACATAGTTCATAATATTACAATGATTCTAATGCCTCACCACTTATGCCAAGAATACACATTTCTAATTTCAGTGGTACTTCATATTTTAAACTTTATATACATATATATAAGAGATATGAGTGTGTGTGTGTGTGTGTGTGTGTGTGTGTAGCATCTCCATAAACAGCTCACCAATCCTGGTGCCCTGGTGATAAAGCTATGGCAACTGTGAGGTCACTATGCATCAGATAAAGAAAGATGGCTTTCAGTAGACATTGCACTTTGGAAGGGAAAATCCGGGCTTAATGTTAACTACTCTCTTCCAGCACTTTCTTCACCCCCATCTTTCAAACTACAATTACAAAATTTCATAATTATAAAACTATGAAGATATTACTTTTGGTATAATAATCATGACCATTTTTATCATATTTAAAGTCTTATTTTTTAAGACATCCTCTTTAGCCATGTACCACATTTTACAAACATTACCTATTTCAATTATCAGAACGATTTTGCAGAGAGGTGGTGATATTTTTCCATTTGAAAGAATAAATTAAGTAATAAGTGACATGCCCAGGGCCATACAGCTACTAAGTGTCAAACTCAGAAATCAAAAGTAGTTCCTTCTGATTTTAAAGCCCATAGTCTAAGCGTATCCCATGCTTCTCTTTCAAACAGCATCAAATTCACCTGTAACATTTAAGTCTATGGTCATTATGAAATTAATGAATCCTCATATTTAGTTATTGATCATTGAATAACCTAGTCTTCTTTAGTTAGAAAAGATAAGTTAAATCTAAAAACTTCTACTTTACAACTCTAAAAATAATCAAAAACATAAAAGATTTATTCTTAGATCCAAATATAAATAACATATTTCTAAATGAATAGACACTAATAATTCATAATAACTTTTAAAATTATTAGGTTAAATATTATATAGAATGAATATATAATAAATTCCTGGTAGTTTTAAATATATAATCATTATTTTAATATAATTTTTTTTCAGACAAGCTAATAACCACCGGTCATCTGGCAACTCCAGGTAATCTTTAATAATATTATCTTTTGAAACAAAGTTTTCATTTACATTTTATTTTAGGCTCCTGAGAAGTCTCTGATATCTTAGCAATTAATATTGCACCTATTTTATAGATAAGAAACCAGGACCACAAAAGTTTCCAATTTTAGCCCAAGGTTTCACCAAAGTAAACAACATATTGAGGCCTAATGCCTGAGTTGTCAGAGTTTACTCCTATCCTCTATTAGTAACAGAACTCTCATTATCTACTGAAAAGAATGTCACCAATAGGATCAAAAGGTTTTCCACCAAGGAAGAAATTTTATCGGATATTAGGGACTTTCTTTCCTTTGATTATTCTCTCTGCATACAAGCTGGACATGCTTTCTTTCTGCTGTTAACATGGTACTGGTGGCCAAAGAATTACCAAAGTGGCCTTGGATTCATTCATTCAATAATTTTTTTTAAATATCTACTTTATGCCAGCTCTCGGTATGTATCTTTAGTGTGACAATTTCTCTGTATTTCTAGGAATTCTCCGCTATGCTTCTGTCTTTCAATCAACTAAAATACCTTCTCTGGTCCTGACTTAATCTTCATAAAGAATGTCCTGGATGTGTCCCTAATCCCTTGAAGTAAATTCAATAAAGTCAATAATGTAGATCTTCAATCAGCTCCCAACAATACCACTACCATGTTACATTATTAAAATTTACATCAAATATTATATACATAAAGAGAAAACATTTGTAAAATCATAAATGCCATTCTTAGTAGGGATAAATAATTCTTGAATAAAAATTGTTGGTGTAATATTTGAAAAGCAAAGCAATATATGAATCAATCAAAATGCTTTAGGAAACAAGCCATCACAACTCTAAAACCCATAAATATCTATTATGATAGCATAAGTCTGTCTGCAGCTGTATTTAGGTTACCTCCAAACAGCAGCACAACATATTGAAGAAAAAAAAAAGCCTGCCACTGAGCCCACATTCTCATCTCCAAGGTGGAAAAATATTTACAGCCTCTCAAATCCCCTTCCAACACACTTTGAACAAATGCTTTTGGGATTGATAATGGCTAATTCCTTTGTCTAAAAATGAGCTGAGTAAGCTAAATGTGTTTTGAAAAATGTGTTCCTAAAACCTTGAAAGCCAGCAACAAGTATCCAAATTAATGCCCTTTTTCTATTTATTTATCGGTTCATTGAGTGACTAATCTAACACAAAGCCATTAAGTTCTTCTTAGTTGTATAAAATGTCCTAATAGTATGTAGAATGAATTAGGTGAAAAGATTGTTTAAAATAAAGCAAGAAAACACCGGGCTTAAAAGAAGTTTTTCTCCCTTACTGTACTGAAGACATATCTGTTAAAAATATAAAGAAATAAGCTACTGAAGAGACTGAGGCAGGAGAATTGCCTGAACCCAGGAGGCGGAGGTTGCGGTGAGCGGAGATCGCGCCATTGCACTCCAGCCTGGGTAAGGGGAGTGAAACTCCGTCTCAAAACAAATAAATAAATAAATAAATAATTGGCCGAACCATCTGCCCAATTTCCTCTGGATGAAAAAGGAAATGATGAATGAGGGGTCAGAGAGCATGGGGAAGTATGCCACCCATATTTTCCTCTCCTGGTAAGTGAAGCAGAAATCTTCTTTTCTTCATTCTGCAGGGGGTCAGTGTACACACTTAGCCCTGTCTTTCACATTTTGTGTAAGTAATCAATAGTCAAAATAAAGATCAAAAAGCAACATAAATTCTCAATCACTAAAAAGACGTGGGTGAATTCATGCATTACCTAATTTCTTCAATCAATCTACATGTATCTGGCAAGCTATCCAGCCTATTTGAACTTTATTATCTGAAAAATAGATTAAAATATATTTCTTGGAGAACGATCATGAAAATTGAAAGAGAGATAATACAGATATCACTGTACCACGGTCAACATGGTGACTCCCACAAAGAAGGAGTAGAAGGAACACTGCCAATATTAGATCCCTACTCCTTCCCCCTTCTGAGTTTGATAAAACAGAATCAAACAAAAAAAATTTGGATTCTTTATTTTAAAAACTCATAAAAACCCTGAATTTAAAACAAGATTATTCTACTTGGTAATGTTCATTTTTATCTGAACTTTTATTTCACCAAAAAAAACTTTGTTTCTAAATGTTTCCTATTATCAGAGACAGTATTGGATTACCTTAATCAATCCTCAAAGCATTATTATAAGGAAAGTAAGTGGTGAAATATCATATTCTTTTTCTTTTTAGTGAATCCATGTACTACATGATTACCCAATCATTCTTCCCATTTATTTCTCTCATACAGCAAGATACTATATATTTATAGAGGGGAACGAGGCAATTAAACGTGAAAACTGCATTTTCCAAGCAGTAATTTATTATGAATATGCCTTCCAGGGATGTTAAGTTTGTTCTCATTTTTATATGCCTGGAAGACAGAGTTTGAGGAAAATCAACAAATGCATGCATCATATACCTGGCATGAGTACTGTTATAAATTCTGCCAAAGAGAACTTTTGTGTGATGATGGTACAAAGTCCATTAGGATTATGCTCTATCACTCAACAGCTTTTCGTTGCCGATTACCTGAAGGTTTTACTAACCCATTTAGAACATTAGAGGAGGACTGGAACTGAGGTGACATTACACAGATTAATTTTTGGACCACGACAGAGTGCCTAGAGAGGCTGTTTTGGGCAATTGCTCCCATGTTTGAGGGATTTCTAGACTACAGCTTGTTCTAATCCGTTTTTACTTACTGTGTAGGCAATAGCTGCAGAAAACAAAAGTTTCAGTATCATGGCCTTTCTCAATCTCATAAAAAATGTATTCTTGCTACAACTCCACTGTGTGGAAGAGTTTGAGGATTGAAGAAAAAGAATGATTGGTTGATTTAGCAAAAAACATGAAATTGGGCCAAAACAACCCAAGGTAGAATTATGTTCCTCAATTTAATTGCTTCAAGACTGAGATGCAGAGATTTTATCTGACACCAAATGTATTGTGACTTTAGGAATTATTCTTTTGTAGCACTTGAGAAAACAACATTTATATTGCTAAGCACTCTCCTCTAATTTAAGACATTCCTACTCACATGGTATCAAGACTACTAAAGAATCTTTACTGTAATTTCAATTGGATTGAAAGTCCATAGTCTTGCTTAAAATACATTTTTTTAAAAAGCTAAATTTGTTTTATCACAGTAAATGAGAATTTCTGTAAGGTGATACCTATTTTCCAATATAATGTGGTGAAATAAAACTGTTCTCTAAAGGCAAACATTCACGGATGAAGATTTCTGCTTCTACTGAGTAAGTATCAGGATCTTGGGCTTAATTTGTCTTAAACAGTTTTGGCCACCAAGTACTATTATCCCTTTTCAAATAGTAGGGAAAATAAAATCTATGATTTCCAAAACATGGTTTCGATTTATCATATTGTATATAACATCTCTTGCAAATTATTTGGAAGGCAAAAAATAATGGATTTTATTATTTTTACCCTCCACAATGCCTAACACAGAGCCTGTATTCAATAGGCACAGGAGGTTCCTAGTGCCAAATCACTGGAAATTGTTCTGACATTGGATCACTCTGAAGTAATCATCTTTCAGTGTATACTGAATTTTTCATGATACAACTACAAATATACGATTAAAGCCTTCTATCTGCTGAATTCCAAGTAATGCTAATTTACTGGTGTGTCTTTATCATATGTCAAAAGTTAATGTCCTGAGGGTAAAATGCCACATAGATTACAGAAAACAAGTGCATTTTTCCCACTGAAGTTAATAATGCCTAATATTAATGAAATTTGAATAGTTTCACAATTTGGCATAGACTTCTTAGAATAAAAGAAATATTAGGACAAAAATTAGGTAATAAAATGCAAACAATTAATACTCAAGTCAAAAAACTCTAGTTTAAGAGGGCAAAACCATTTAAATTAAACTGGCATCTGGCTGGGTGTAACAGCTGTTTTAATTGATGGTTGTGTTAGAACTTGTAATCATGTATATTCATGTAGAAAATGAAAGAGAGCGAGAGGAAACAGTAAAAAAATTTGACTAAAATTTTAAAACGTTGTATAAAAATTACATTTATATTTTCCATATTAGTTTTAATATGGGAAACTTCTGTTCCTCACGGACCATGTCAGGTGAAGAGTGTTTATGAAACAGTCTGGAGAGACACAGAGTGCAACTTAAGATTCCAACTTTAATATTCCAACTTAAAGTCAAAATACTTCAAACTAGACTCAGTTTCTAATCTCACAATTTGTTCATCTCATAAACAGTATTGAGACGAATGGCCATAGTAACAGAACTGGCCTCTCCAGTCATTCAACTGCCAGTCCTTAGCATTCCATTCTCCACCTCCACTAATCTTGTTCAGAAGCACATGTAGTCACTGAAGTTCATCAATTTTACCTGTAAGTAGCAATTGAGCCCATGTCCCATCGTCTCTACCATTGTGAGAATTCTAGCCCTCATCAACTTTCACGTGGACCATTGAAACAGCTTCTCCAGTGGTCTTATTCACGTGATGTTTCACATGGTACAACAATTGCCTTTATGAAACATGGACTAGTCATATCACACATACATGTGAAAATCTTTCAATGCCATTGCCTATTGAAAAACACTTAACAAAGATAAAAAGTTCCTCTAGAATCTAATATCAAACTCCTTTCTTACTATGCCTTCCATAAACATCCCGCCATCTAGGTTAGTGAGACTCATCTGTTTCCCATATATTGATTTGCTCCTGACATATCACTAAATACATTCCATATGGCTCTCCTCCTGGTACATTTCTAGGCATTCTTCAAAAACTAATTTAAATATGACCACTTCTATAAAGATGTTTGTAATTCTTGCCTTAGAAGGAAACTAATTGCTTAAACTTTGGTGCTCCCATAGTACTTTTTAAATATCTCTCTTAAAAAATTTATTTGTAAATAAACCAGTTCCTCCACTAAACTTCAAGCTTCACGAAAGGAGAGAGGCTCTGCCTTACTCATTCTTTTATCTCCATCTCTTAAAACTCCATGACAAAAATGTGCAGAAAATAAATACTTGCGGGATCAATAAATAATTATTTATAAGATCAATCGAGTCCAAGGGGTATCACTTGTTGGTGTGGTTTTGAGGTTCAATCCAGAGTTCAACGATAATGAACAGAGATGTGATGCATCAAAAAGTGAAGCTCCCACAAGAAGTGTTAGGACAGTCAATGTGATACATGTTCCCTGCTATATCCCCAAATCTAGTCTTTGAAATGCTGAATATTTGGACGTCTATCAGCTACTCATAAAATAAGACACAGTTTCAAGTATAGTTCTTTTTTTAGTTTATTTATTTATAAAGCACTGAAGAGATTCTATTAAATCTTATACCTTCTCTGAATTAGTAACTCAATGGTTAATGACTTTTGATGAATTGCTCTTATGTATCAACAAGTATATGCAATTGGGTTTAGTAAATAATATTTTTATTATTATTTATTGTTTTCCTACATAGGAGTACTCTGTCATTTGAGAATGGCTCTGATATTTACTCTGTCCTATAATTTTAGATGGGTATTCCATGAATTTCCCATTGGTTTATATTCATTTTAATTACAGCCAGCTACAAATATCTAATTTAGTTCTATGTATACTCAGCAAAAATCTATAAATGTTTTTAATTAAGAATTAACTTAGTAGATTCATTGACACGAGCATATTTATTTTGCTAATTAATTTTATAGAGCAGAAGGAGAAATTACAGATATTCATATTTTTTTAAGCCCAGCAGATGGCAGTACAGTTCTGGCTTTAAGATTAAGAACAATAACCAAAAAGGAAAAATAATGCTGCTGAGTTAAAGCTTTCCAAAACTTTGCACTATCACTATTATTGTATTCAGAGGCAAAAATATTCAAATTTCCACACTGGCCTGAAAAATAAAATAGAATAAAAAGTCTTTATCATGTGGGCATGTAAGAATATGTCTTATTTTCAGAATTGCTCTTACATTTTCCAACTTAATTTCTAGAAGTAAAATGTGTTTCTTGGTGCATCTAGACTTAAGTTTATGAAAGAGGGCAAGTAAAAGTCAAGACAGGCTGAGAGGGGCAAATTGTTCAGATTTTCTCCAGAAGATGGCATGAAACCCTGAAGGGGTGTGTTTACAGTGTACCCCCTAAGACTCTCTGACCCAAGGGAAAAAGATAGAATAGCCATTAGATTTCCTCGTTGTTTAATGTTGCAATGTACTGGGAATTTTAAGTATTTTATCTTACTTTAAAATGACTTTGGTTGGTAAATTTACTCTACAAAATAGAAACACTGACTTGAGCCACTATATTTTCAAATAATAAGCTTATGAGTAAATTAAGTGGCTGCTAGATGCTGCAGATGATGTAATAAACTTTCCAAAATTGCCCCACATGAAATTTCAAAATTTAAAATGCTCTAATTTTACAAATGACTGATTTTAAAATGAAATAAATATTTCTATGGCAGTTAAAGAATATACTTATAAGAACCCCAATGGCAAAAAACATATTAAATGTTTTAACACTGTACATATCTCATCAATTGGAAATTAAATAATTTCAGTCGTTTTTTAAAGGAAATGTCTCAGTAGAGTGCCCGTCTGGTTCAAGTCCTTGTGCTGATGCGCTAACATGTATAGCAGCTGATTTATTTTGTGATGGAGAATTAAACTGTCCAGATGGTTCTGATGAAGACAATAGAACATGTGGTAAGTTTACACCCCTATTGTCTCCCCTTCCCTTTTATTTTCCCTCACTGTAGACAACCAAACACACATGCACATACACACACACACACACACACACACACACACACTAATCTCGGAGACCTGAAACTACTGAACAGTATAATATAATACAAAAATCTAAAAATAATTGTATTAATATTTTCCTAAACTTAATAAATAATACTAAACATATTGATTAATTAAACAGAAAAATTTGTTGAATTCCTTTTGATCACTACAGAAAGGAAGATGTGATTAACGATGTCTGTCATAAATGTGGGGATGGGTGTTGCTAAATTTTCGTCTCTTCTCTGATATACATTTTCATTTCTTTTCATGTTTTTTTCACTATCACATCAGTCTTTCCTTTCAACATTTTAACAGTAACTAACTCAATGAGAACCAGCTTGAAAATTTGACTGTTGCTCTTATTTGCCTCTTGTAGTTCTATAAATAATGGAAACAAGATATGAATAAGAACTTAATTCCCCATAAGTAAAACGTCTGTGTTTCACTTGTATATTTTGTCATTTTTTTGAGTGTTAATGACAATAATGTTATTTTACTATTATTATTATTACTTGTCACTTAAGTAGCACTTACCATATACCAAGCATGGTTCTAGTTGATTTAAACACATTTACTCTTTGCCTTATTTCTTCTTTAAAAGCTGGATTCCACTTAGAAAAGTTTACTAGAAAGCAGTATCTAAATAGGTAATTTATTTTTGTATGTAACACGTTGAAGAAGATTTCCACATAGAACTACAATAGTTCCCCCTTATTTGAGGTTTCCAGTTTCAACTACCCATTGTCAACCACAGGCGACAATAGTAAATGGAAAATTCCAGAAATAAACAATGTATAAGTATAAAATTGCATGTCGTTCTGAGTATCAGTATAATTGCTCTATTTTATTAGTGATTATTGTTGTTAATCTCCTATGGTGCCTATTTTCTAAGTCGAACCTTATCATAGGTGTGTATGTATAGGAAAAAACATGGTAGATGCAGGGTTCACTATTACCCATGGTTCAGGCATCCACTGGAGTTCTTAGAATATATCCCCTGTGGATAAGGGGAGACTGCTATATTTGGATAAGTCTAACCTGTATTTTTTTTATTTAACAGAAAGTATTAACTGCACATTTTTTGGTATGGCTTATAATCAGTTTTAAAACTAACCATAAGTACAATTAGTGCCCAAAGTGTGTTGAAGACTGTAGTTACTATTTGCTAAACTTTTCCATTATTTTGGTACACTTTCTAATCTTGCTTGATATTAATAGAAGATGAGTATTCCAATAATTACTGAAGTTTTAAAAACTACCTCTCCACTTAGTACGTACCTTAAAAGCCAGGAGTTGTCTGTTTTCCAGTAACAAGTCACAAAAGGCAACTCTACTATAGACACTTCCACTAAGCAATCTCTTTCAAATGTTCTTGAATAAAATTAAGACCTTTAAAGTTTAACTACATACTTTGAAGTTCACTCAGAACGTACTGGAAGAAAGTGCAGTCTACAGAATATTTTTTAATCTATTTTATATAACTAAGTTACTCAAAGAAGAAAGCAGTGTTCTTGTTTTGCCATGGTTCTCAGGCATTTTCTAAAATCTTTTCGGGGAGAATATGATACAAGTGTGCCATCATGAGGCAACAAAGGTGATGTTGATTTCTGTTTCAAAAATAATAGTGTATGTCAACTTAGACACATGGCTTTAAGCTAGTAAAATGATTATCTCTATCCTTAAATAGAGGAAAAGGCATAACTAAAAAAAATATGATCAAATATTTGAAAAATATACTCTACCTATTATTTTGTTATTACTCCCTGGAGTTCATAATGTTCATGATAAACTAATATCAGCATATATAAAAAAGAACCATAGTTTGTCCTAAAATAAGTTTTAATGCTATTAATTAATGAATTATTTTTTCTGAGCCATTCTAAATTCAGGAGATGAGCCTCAATATTAGAATGGAAGTAATCATCTAAATTTGCCATAAAAATATATGGTCAAACTGCATTATTACACGAGTATGTGAAGATTTTTTTGTTTATTGAACCTTAGTAGTTACCAGCCTTTCATGTCACCAACACTCTCAACCCTGCACACCGTCACTTTCCATTTTCTTGATCCTCTTTCTTTGTTGTTTAAAGAAAGTATTATGTCTATTTTGGTAAATAAATTCAAATTATGTGTAGGATAAAATTGTTTCAATCAATGTTTTTTATCAAGAGAGATTTCAAGAGTACCAGTTGCTTTACTCATTTTAAGTTGCTTCATTCATTGATAATGGTGAGCCCACAAGCCTAGTGAACTTCAGCACCAACTCCAACTTCCAGCAGCATTATTTCCACCTGAAAGCCCCTATCCATCAATCTGTATTCACGGAAAAATTTATAAAATTAATTTAAGATAATTTTTCCCATATGAAGTTGACCTTTACTCTCTCTCATTGATTTACACACATTTTGCTCCAGCTGTGAGCTCTGATTCTGGTTTGTGTTATTAATGTTGTCTTCCTCATGCAGCTTCCCTTTTAGTTTTTAGTTATTAGGTTTGCACACTTACAGCTGACTATAGCTGAACCAAGATTTCTTTAAATTGTTTTTCTCTTCTGATTAGAATTATATCAGCAGGAAAGTTCACTTTTTAGCTGATCTGTGAGAAGGAAAGATGCTGATTCACAGCATTTAAGCCAATGTTTAATTCTTTGGAAGTTGGCAAGTGTTCTCATAGTTTGTATACCTCACATGTATATGCATAATAGAGCTTGGTGGGTGAACATACATCATGTTTGATTTATATATCCTGGAGATTTCAACGCCATGAGCAAAGATGTAATTAGTGAATATTGAGCCAGCAGAGGGAGCTCTTAGTGGGTCCTAAGTGCATACCCTTATTAATTCCATCCCATCTCAGGCAACGTTTCTGATAGTGCAATAGAATGGCTGATATTATTTGACAGGCTCATTTATCTTCTACTCAGAATTTTTTTATGATGCTGCACTAGAAAGCACTGCACAGTCTAAAAAGTCCTAACAACCAGCAATCCTACTCATCCACAACTGTTATTTTTTCCTACAAACCTATCCAGCTTCATGGTCATTTGTACTATTAGGTTCTCCAGAAACATACTGAAATTAAATTTTAATAATGTATGAGAAAGCACCTTACACAAGCCTCTATCTTGAAATGATAATATTTTGACATTCTGATCTTTGCTATTAGAAATAATTCAATACTATCATAATTTTGTTTCAAATACCTTTGAAATAGTCTCTGTATTTACTTGTATGCCAGAATTAACTAGAGCCTAATTAGAGCAGAATTTGACCTGTAGAGTATTCATTCCCACTGAAACTTAGTAATATGATAGAAAACAGGACAGGAAAATTGATCATACTTTTTAGGACGGGCTAAATAATGTGATAAACCATCTTAACAATTTAAGGAAATAACAGTTTATTTATCACCCATATCATGATGAAAGAAAGATGGCAAGGGGCTGTGCTCTATGTAGGCATTCAGGATGCCTGCTCCTTACTTGCCACTCCCTGTCCGCAGAGTCCTCCACTGGATCCTTTACAACCAGCTGACTGACAAAGGAAGAATGTTACAGATAAATTTGAAAACCATATTCAGAAACAGACACCGTGACTTTTACAATCGTTCATTGGCCAACTCAGTCACATGACCTTATCTGACTGCAAGGGATTTGGGGAAGTGTAGTTTAGTCATGTGCTCAGGAAAGAACTGAAACAGAATTCTTCAAACATAGAACCGTCTTTGAAACTAGCGACATAACTCAGCTTTTTGGAAAATTATGACTCATGTTGTGCAACACACTGTTGATACCTTTCCCAAAAAATGTGTGGTGAATGGATAGAAATGATGACTAAACTTTTATCAGCTTTACAAACAGGTTTTACAAATTCTTAAAGGGATCTTTTTTTGCACTCTCTCTCTCTCTCTCTCTCTCTCTCTCTCTCTCTCTCTCTCTCTCTCTCTCTCTCTCTCTCTCTCTCTCTCTCTCTCTCTCTCTCTCTCTCTCTGTCTCTCTCTCTCTCTCTCTCGAGTCCTCCTGTTTGTTCTGGAATATTATTGCAAATGTGGCCTATATTTTAAATTTAAGAACATTGAAAAACATGGAAATCTCTTAAAATTTTTCTGTTTCTTCTTTTATTTATGCTTTTCTCCCCCCGCTTTTTAGTTCAAAGTGTGAGTGATGTCATCATGATGGTGACAGGTACATAAATATATTGTAATATTAGGCAATATTCCACAGTATGCAGTTGAATAAGACTGTCTGTCTTTAAATTGTTGCTGGTAAGCTAGGAGGCCTTATGGTAGTTATTTAACCCAAATATGCCTCAGTTTCCCTCATAACTTCATAGAGTTATTATGCAAATTACATTTATACATATAAAATAATTTTGGAAAATGACAGGCACATAGTAAACACCCTGTAAATGTTAGCAGTTGTATTTTAGCACTGATAGGATTGAGCATTCTACCTCATTGGTCCTTAAGTATCATAACTCAAATATGAACTTTACAGTAGCAGCAGACTTTACCACACATTCTACAATTTTGAGTCCATGCTGTTTCTTGACCAACTGTGATTTAAAAGCTTTATATATCACATCAAATACAAGCAAATGTAATTTTGGTTTTAATGGTCTTTGAATCTGAGGCATTAATTATCCTACTTTTTTGGCATGATTTACAGTGGAAAAGAAACTTGAGGGTGAGAAAAGAGAATTGCTTTTACAGTTAGAAAATTATTTAGCAAGTCATTAAAAAGTCACATATTTTACTACTTATCTTCAAATCATGAAAAATTAGCCTTAATTTTTTTTGTTTGTTGCAGTCATTATTATACATAAGGCAATTAAATTAACTCTACAAACCACAATTTTTCTTTTTTTTCAGTGATCTATGCAGCATTTTTCATAATTTAATCTTTGCTTCTTGAATTATCTTTTGTTTTCTTATCTTTGTTCTTTTTTCCTGTTCTTTATTTATTCGTTCTTTTCTTCTTCTGGGATTCAGGTTGTAATAAGCTAGCAATGAATTCCTAGGCCGTTGTTTTCAAGCAGACTTTCAATAATAAACTTATCAAAGTAAATGTTTACCCATTAAAAAAATATATGCCAAAAATAGCAAAAACCTAATAAAAACATGAAATTTTTATTATGGTTTCTATTTGCTATCTAGTTTTTAATCTGTTTATTTTTATATACATAAAATGTTTTGTCATAAAATAGCTTGTATTATGTAATTTGATAGAATCACTTTACAATGTTACAATGAGCTTTTTCATAGCTCAATTTAGAAGTAGCTTAAACACTCAGATTCCAAAAGTGACATTTTGACATATTTCTTTGATTTTTCTATCCTCCATTAATGCTTCTCCATATGAAGAGTTTGTAATATGCAGAGATAACACATTGTAGGGGTCATAATTTTAGAATATTGTGTCAACATAGCCAAGTAACTAACCAGGAGGAAAATAATGTAAGAAAGACTAAAAATTGTGAAAATCAATGTGGTTTTTTGCATATTAAAAAAGACAAAAATCTATACGTAATAGCTCTTGGTTCATGCCTTCAAGAAGATTTTAATCTAATTTGAATAAATTCAGATATAAATTAAAGGCAACTAATAAATTCATGAAATAAATCTACTATAAAAACTAAAATAGGAAAATGAGTAATTATGGAAAGCAAAAGGCAGAATCAGGAATATTGTATGAAAATATTGAACATATTGGTGTAGCTACTCCTTTGGGAGCTCTTTAAAAACTTTAAAATATGGGCTAACAGATTGGTTGGATGGAATTCTGCACAGGCCACTAGTACTATCATTTTCCTGGCCTTATTCTAATCATTTTCAAAAAACAAAGCACTTTGTACATATATTTGAAATTCACCTAGCTCCAATTTAATTATAAAAATAAGAAAAAAATGACTAGTTATCTGTCTAAACTGGCAGTTTTCAATTCAGATACATTTATTTCCTTGCAAATATGGAAGAATACACTGAAAGTGCAGCTTAGAAAGACAGTGCTTTTCTAAGGTACTCCATGATAGGATGGGTATGAGTATTTAAAAATGGCTCATAAGTTTTAAATATGAAATCTTACGATCATTTGGTCACTTCAGTTTTATAAAAGAGCCTCGTAAAGATTTTGCCATGAGTGTTCTGTGAAATGTCTTACAGCCAGTTTGAATCCCAGGATTGTTTTTGTGTAATATTAATTGGCATCGTTTTGCAGCCACAGCTTGCGATGGAAGATTTTTGTTAACTGAATCATCTGGGTCTTTCCAGGCTACTCATTATCCAAAACCTTCTGAATCAAGTGTTGTTTGCCAGTGGATCATACGGTAATACACAATCTTGTATTTTCTGTTCTTAAGTCGTAAAGTATTTCTCTGATGCAATGTGTTACTGCTTTCGTAGTTTTTTTTAAAGAATCATTGTTTTCATTAACTATGAAGCAAAGACCTCCCAACTGACAAACTATACAAAAATTATCATTTTTTAACCTTTTAAAAAGGTATTCTGTGTTATGAACAATACTATCTAATAAGTGGGGTCATCTCATTGGGTTCTGAAGGAAGTTTCTCTTTCTGTGGCCAACACTCATCATGTGCTGGCAGGCAAACAACACACACTGTAAATCATGAGAAGTGGAATTTCACATCACCTGCATTTGTCTGTAAAATATTTTCTTTCTCATTTTGCCACTTACTGTTTGGAAATCTCTAAAACATGATTCAGTTACAGCAGACTAAGAGCAGGGAACATCCTCTATATATGTCTTTTTTGTTATATCTTGAATGACATTTGGATCAGTCAGTCCAAATGTTTTCACCTCCATATTCTTAATACAATTAACCAATCCAATCATGAAGATAATCAAAATAATTAGGCTGCTGACAGCTGACCTACCCTAATGTTTACCTAAGCATTTTCACAGACAAGGAATGCCTTACGTTTCTTTCAGATATTCCAAGGAGAAAAAGAATTTGTACTCACATAAATATGAGATCCTGAAATACATTTATTAAAACTATTAAAAATGTTACTTCTTATAGCCTTAAATATGTTAACATGTAATATAAGTCTCCCATAAAAACTTACTTCTTAAACTGCTGACTATTTCCCCAACAGAACATGCAGAATAATAGACTTCACTATGAAAAATTACATTTTAGTTAGTTCATTTCATTTCTCTTAATATAGATGGGATTATGTTTTACTAGTCTGACTTATAATATGATAATTTTAATCATTCTGATGACTCACTTGAAAACTAGGGCAATAAATATAATAGCTGATTAAATAAAGTTCAAAAGTAGAGCCTCGGGTTCTTGCCAAACGGTTTGAAATGACCCCCAAAATAATCATCAGTGTAGACATATTTCAGAGAAGATATGTGACAAAAAGACTGTTCTATACACACTTACTTGGCATTGTTCAAGGAAAGAATATCTCTCTTTCATTTCTATTTGGAGTGCAGCCCCATATGAGATATGTGATATAACTAAAAACACAATTTTCATTTTTTCACGCTCTAGACTACATGCTATTGTTATATCAAAAATAAGACTATGAATTAAAAATGACAGTTCTAAGTAATTATTGCCAGTTGAAAAATTAACCAAGTTGGAGAATATTGTTTCCACCCTACATTTGTATGTTTAGAGAACAGCCTCTATATGTCTTTTTTGCTCTATCTTGAATGACATTTGAATCAGTTCATATACATTTCACTTCCACATTCCATGTCCACATATATATAAACATATAAATGTAAAGTGAAAACAATATTCTCAACAATATATATAAAACGTATATACATATATTTTATTCTCCTAATTGTGTGTGCGCACACACACACTCACACACCCCATCGCATCAAACTTAAAAGAAGCATTTATAAATGTCTATTAGCATTGTTCATTAGGAAAATAAAATGTTAAATTTATCACTTATTTAAAATGTCAGTAGAAAGCTGTAGAAAATCTTAATTTCTTTCACTGAAAATGGAAACAATTTATAAATGTAACTAATCTGCATTTTTTATGCAATCTTGACCTTGGAAACTAAATCTCTAAGTATTACCAGCCCTTGTAATCCTTTCCTGGGTCCATTTGCAGATGATCTAGCCAACCTCATGTCTAAGGAGGCTTGAACATTTTCACCTATACACACTTTCATTTCTTTCAGCCATCTCCCTTTCTGAGGAATTCAGAGGAACTTTGTACTTACAAAGCACTTGGAGGAGTTATTTATATTTCTTTTTGTAACATTTTAGTAGGACAGTGGAGTTGTAAATAGAGGTTTCACTAAGCCTCCCCTCTCTGACACTATTATCTAAAAATGAAAATAAGTTTAAATATCAAATTTAAATTTTCTGATGAAACTGTCATACTTTTCCTTCCATGCTTTTATACTGTCAGCTGGATAATTATTTTTTATATCAATAAGCATGCACTAGTTTCTATAAAGTATTAGATAATACAGGGATAATATAGGGATGAATGAATTAATCCCTGTCCTTGAGTCATATAAATTCTGTTAGAAAAGACATTTAAGTATGTAAATAACAATTATAGAATTTAATAGCTGTCACCTTGATGGTATGAACAATGTACATGAATTGAAAAACTTAATATAGTTAAAATATTTATATTACCCAAAGTGATGCACAGATCAGATGCAAGCCTTATAGAATACCAATGGCGTTTTTTACAGAAATAGAAAAAAAATCCAAAAATTCAAGTGGAACCACAACAAAACCCAAAGAGCCAAAACAAAATTGAAAAAAGAGCAAACTTGGTGGCTCACACTTTCTGATTTCAAAATGTATTACAGAGCTATAGTAATCAAAACTGCAACATACTGACAGAGAATAGAAAGCCACAATAAACCTCACATATATGATCAAATGATCTTCCATGAGGATACTAAGAGAACATAAAGGGGAAAGGATAATCCTTTCCACAAATGATATTGGGAAGACCTGAAGTGGTACAGCTGCTATGGAGAACAGTATGCAGTTTCCTTAAAAAATTAAGAATAGAATTGCCATATGATATAACATTCCCAATTTTGAATATTTATCTCAATGAAATATTGTACTCTCATGTTCATTTTGGCATTATTTACAGGAACCAAAAGGTAAAAAGAACCTGAATGTCAATCTTCAGATGATTGAAGAAAATGTGATATATATGTGAATATTATTCAGCCATAAAAAAGGAAATATTCTATATGACACAACATAGAATAACCTTGAGAATATTATGCTAAGTGAAATAAGCCAGTCACAGAGAGATATATACTGCATGACTTCATTTACACGAAGCATAGAAAGTACTTAAACTCACGAAAATGAAAGTAGAATGGTGGTTGCCAGGAACTGGGAGGACTAAGCAATGGAGAGTTGTCATTCCCTAATACAGATTTCAGTCTTGCAAGTTAAAAAGTTCTAGAGATCTGCTGTATATCATTGTGTTCATAATTGGCAATAATGCACTGTAAACTTAAAAATTTAAGAGGGTAGATACCATATTATGTGGTACTCACCACAAGAAAACACATACAAATTCTAGGATGCATTAAGAAATATGACAACTGCTAAAAATGTGATGATCTATTTTTTTGCTTTTCATTTAGTGTAAACCAAGGACTTGCCATTAAACTGAGCTTTGATCATTTTAATACATATTATACAGATATATTAAATATTTATGAAGGTGTAGGATCAAGCAAGATTTTGAGAGGTAAGTTGAAACAAATATATAATTACTTATGAAAATGAAAATAAGTGGGTAACTTTCTGGAGTAATATGTTTTCCCTTTGATTTTGAAGTGAATATTGACTTGAAACTTACAAAACTAAAAAGAAAAAAAACAGAATTGCTTCTCATTATAAAAATTAGAAAATTAGTACTCTATGTGATCTTCATAATAAAACAGTTACATTTTAACATGGTGGTCTTCTAATTAATATCTTTAAAATTATGTGAAAATTGTAAAAGAATTATATATCTGGTTACCACACATTGCTTAAATGTTAGTCCCAATTAACCAAATTCAGACAATACCTGAAAATTACTATTCTGTTTGTCTCTGACATTGCATAGGTTATAAATTCACAGAGGTGCTGTCATTTTTGATGTGCACCATGCTTCTCAGTCTCCTGCAGGCTAATAGTAATAAAGTGTCTGAAACATTGTCTAGCCCAGGAGGTAGGCTCAGCAAATGGTAGCTGAGGATGGATGGTATTGTAACTACATAACCATTTATCATTATACAGGGACAGGGCTAGAAGCTGAAAAGAGGGCAGGGAATGTCCTAGTACCATACATCTGCTCATGCCACTTTGTTCCACCTGGCCCCAAAGTACACAGACCTATTCAGAGTAGCCAGTGGAATTAGGGGCAAAATTCCAGAAGGAAATAAAATGAGGATGAGGTACAGAATGTGGAAATAAAGTAAAGGGAATAACTATTTTTCTTGTATGTTGGAGAAATAGTTAAGTGTTGAGCTAAGATAAGGTTGATGACACCTGTGATTAATTTATATAATAACTATTTATTTTAAGAACTTTGCCTTTCAAATTGTATTTGTGGGTAACGAAAAGTGAATCCTATTTAATGATTTGAGAAATATTTAAGCATATGCTAACAGTATCTCATTTTTATTAGGTATTGATGTGTGATACTCTGCTGAATAATCAATGTGCATTTTCTTATTTAATCTTTTCAACAAATCTGCAAAATATGTTTTACAGAAGAGTAAAATGAGGTCTAATATATTAAATAGCCATAAGTTCACAATTACATAAGTGTTGGAGGCAGAAATTAAACTCAAACTCTCTGACTTGAAACACAATACAATTATTCTTTGTGTTTTAAAAGCCCAAGTACAAATATCATAATGAGTATATATAAAGCATGTGAATTCATGGCAAGTCACATTAACTCTTAAAAAATGGGCCAACTATTTCACAAATCTATTTCTATAGCTGATAAATGCAGTTTCTTAAAATTATTATCAACATAAATATTTACGTAAGTGGACAAATAGGCTACTTCATATAAAGATTTCCAAGGACTAATGTGGCATTAATAAACTTGAGCATATATTTTTCACTTGCACTGTGTAGAGGAGTGCTGTCAGCACTTTGAGTTGATCCAATAAATGCTCTTCCAAACCAATTATGTAGATGTTATTAATAATGTCTACAGAAGATAAAATCTACATTTATAGAGGTTGGGGGTAAATAAGTGGTAGGCACAAGATATTCTCATTTTTCAAACACTATGATTTATCTAAATACTATTTTCGGATGTTTAGGGAGTCAGCAATTTTTGAATAAATTTATAAATAATTAGGCATAGTCATGTGACTAATGCACAATTAATTAAAAAAGTAATAAACTGAATATCCAAGCAGAAAACATCTACGAATATGTAGTTACAGTATAATAGGTAGTTGCTTAATTTTAAGGTATTTGAAATAAAAATTTATTTTGAAGTTTTAAAAATTAAATATTTTAATTATAATCTAAAAATATCAGAAAATGTGTTGGGTGTTAAATTTTAAAATTAAAAATTCTAACTTTTTCTAAGAAAACTAATAATATCTTACCTTTGGCATCTAGCACAAAGTCTGGTGTATTGTAAAAACTCAAAGTTTGTTTATCTGAATTGACACCAATCGGTATATATTTTTATCACATTGTATTATAGTATATAATCAATGGAGACAAGCAGTATTTGCCATAACTGTAAAGTTAATTTGTGTGAAAATAATGCTGATACTTTTATTCTCAAGTCACAAGCTCATCTTTCCCCGAATCTTTTAGCAATTTCTTTATGTGAAACATGGTTACAAGGTTTGCTTTCATTAGGTTCCAATTCAAAATATAAAATCTCAAATACTGTTATTATTTGTACAATATACTTAGGACAAGTTGATTGTATAGAGACAGTATAAGGAAATACAAGCATCTATTATCATAAAATAGTTGTTACATATCTGATTGGATAAATCAGCATAAACAAATTCTAAAGGTATGTTTCCAGTCATTTATCTATAGTTGTGATGGGAGAGTTCTCTAGCTGCTGAAAAGTATCAGAGAAATATAGACATTACATAAAGTGATAGTACAGTAGTCTTCAAATAATTATGAAAATTGAAGTAAATCAAAATAGAGTGCTGGGAAAGTTATTTCAAAAGTGTTTTCTTTAAGTTGCAGTGATGAAAGTATAATATTAAATTCAATAGTCATAATAATTATTAATACTTCATATGAAAGGGGTAGAAGATGGTGAGTGAGCTTATTTAATTTAGTGCTCAGAAAATCTATAAATGTTTGTATGCATCTTCAAGGAAAGACAACAAAACTGCCTGGGTTAGCACACTGAAAACGGTTTCAAAATGCTTAGCCTAGGAATTGTGTTTCTGAGTGCATAGTTGTTATGCCATTCTTTTTATCTCAAGTGCTTACGTGGTACTCCATTCCCACAGGACTGCTGACAATATATTTCTAATACTGCAGCTTAATACTGTGTACAGCCATGCTTATACTGAGGCACATACAAGTGTGCATAGCTATAGTCAAAGTTACCTAATAAACATAGTGTGTATTCCTGAATTCTCAACTTATCCTACAACAAAAATAATCACATTGCATATATGGAATTAATATATGCAAACATTATTCAAGGCAAAGCATTTTTAGTAAATTTTGTGATTTTATTAGGAAACTTTTATGTATACTTAAAAGCACCCATACACTCACTTCTGTTGATAGGGGTATATTACATGGAAAGTTTATTTTAGCAAGCACTAGCTTTGCTTAAGGCATCCCTTCCAGAAGTTCTCAAAGATTCCCCAATCATATTGGCTGGCAAAATTAAAGATTCCTTCCTCAGTACTCCCATAGCATTTTTCCCTTATATAATTATTTTATTTCTATTCTTATTTGTTTGTTTGTTTATTTATTTATTTATTTATTTTATTGAGACATAGTTGTGCTCTTATTGCCCAGGCTGGTGCGCAATGGCATGATCCTCACTGCAACCTCCGCCTCCTGGGTTCAAGCGATTCTCCTGCTTCAGCCTCCAGAAGTAGCTGAGATTACAGGCACCTGCCACCATGCCCAACTAATTTTTTTGTATTTTTAGTAGAGATGGGGTTTCACCATGTTGGCCAGGCTGGTCTTGAACTCCTGACCTCAGCTGATCCACTCGCCTCAGCCTCCCCAAGTGCTGGAATTGCAGGCATGAGTCACTGCTCCTGGTCTATGGTTATTTTTATTAACTCACTAATATGAATTCTTCTAAGAGAGGAAACTGGTTATTTCTTTTCTATGTCACAGCACTTGGCCCCATACTAAATTTTTAGTGGGCACTCACTAAGATGTGTTGAATATATTAGAAATTCATTTTATAATAAAGATGGTTCTCTAGTTGCAGCATTTTCACTCTTATAAATTGGATAGTGTAAGTAGTTTGAACTAGATCTGTTGAATCATACTGTGTTGAAAGTTGGTCTTCCCTGTCCATTGCCCTCTTTCCAAATTCTCCACATCTTAATCATACTGTTTCTTTTCTTCTTTCACAAATCTATTCACCAGAACCTTTGCTGTTAGTAGAGAAATGATGAGTTAATTCACATTTAAGTGACTGCTTGATAGTCAATATAAATTGCCATCCAGAAAAGTTTTAGATTTTAGTAGAAGATGTTAGATTTTCTTAAGGAATTAATGTCAAAAAGTTATTTTATCTGTTATGATATATTAGAGAAAAAGTCATCCTTTAAAAGATATTAGGTAATTGGTTTTTTCTTTCAACAGAAACCCTGTCGCTTTTATGTAGCCAAATTCTATTACTCTGTTTACTCACATCTTGAAATATGCCCTCAAATATTGATTAAAAATCTCCTATGCTTCGGTACAATGACAAAGGTACAGAAAACACTAAATTATCATCTCATCCTTTTCAAGGTTTACTGCCTAGTTGGTGAGATAGAAAAGCAAAAGATAGAATTCATTGAACATTTAGTATTACCAGTCACTGTCTTACATGGGAAAAAATGTTGTAACACTACAGAAGAAACTGAGGCACAGAGAAGTCTAGTAAGACATGGAACCAGGACTCAATCAAATACTGATGCTGGGGCCCCTGCTCTTAACCACTACCCTCCATTACTCCCTGGATCTGTAAGATATGTGGCTTTCACTGGATCTGTGGTCCTGGGATTCTTACTAAGCAAGGAGACTTTAAGAATACCTGATGAAAGTTTTATTAAATCTCTACAGAAACATATTCCACACCATTTTAGGGGGGTTGTCTGAAGCAGGTTAATGGAAGTCAAGGTAAGCTCCTGGACTTTTTTTCTTTTGAGAAACAGTCTTGCTCTGTTGTCAGGCTGGAGTGCAGCGATGCAGTCTCAGCTCACTGCAACTTCCACCTCCTGTGTTCAAGTGGTTCTCCTGTCTCAGCCTCCCAAGTAGCTGAAACTATAGGCACCCACCATTACAGGCAGCTAATTTTTGTATTTTTAGTAGAGACAAGGTTTCACCATGTCAGCCAGATTGGTCTCGATCTCTTGACCTTGTGATCTGCCCACCTCAGCCTCCCAAGCTCCTGGATTTTTAGACTAGTGCAATTCTATTAGATAACGTGAGAATTCAACACACTATGAAATCCAACACACTAAAGGGGTATTGAACCAGCAGCCATATTCAAAGCCAGCCAGAAGTCATTGTCCAAGAGAATTCCTTTGCCATGGAATAAAAAGAAAAATAGAGGCAGATGGGTTTAAAGCTAAGTTTCTAGACTGTTCACATCCCTTACATGAGTAACACTTATGAACTCCAAAGGTTTTCAATATGAGAAGAATTTAAATTACACAATTATGCATGCTGGCATGGCAACAGTCTAAATAATTTATATAGGTCTTCATGAAAAAGCATTGAATGCATGATGCATGTTTGGTGTGAAAACATTAAGATGTGTATTAAAGCTTGTTCATGATGTCCCTTCTATTAGATTATATTGAAATTACATTGCATGTATCACAATGTTTCCTGATTACTACATAATCACAGGATATCCAATAGTTCATAAAACTGTCTCTTTTCAGAACTGAATACATTACTGTGGTTCATTTTCTCCTATCTGCAAGTGTGGTATTTTTATAGACCTGAATCTGATGCCCTGTTCAGATTGTCAAACTAAAATGCTAAAGCATTATTTCTTAACACTTTTTTTTATCACCACCTCCACTAAGAAACCTTTTAAGGCCTTGTTATTTTCCAACTGCTCCATGTGAAAGTCTAATTTTTCATATACACTATATTCTGTGTATCTGTTCATGGACTCTGGGTATGTCCGAGCTTTACACATTTAAAAATTAAAACTGTTTTTCTCCCTAAAAACCAATTTTTACCCCCCCTTGAGGCAAGATCACCCTATTTGAAAATGTATGTGCTATACATTTTTATAAAAACCAATTTTATGTAACAATGATTTAGAAAAGCATCATTTGAAAGCTTTTTATAACCTAAGTACTATACTAACATTTGACAATCAAAAATGAAAGAAAAAAATCCCCTAAATAGCATTTTCTCAAGACAGAAAAATGTTACAATCAATATTAAATGCTGCAGAAACAAACTTAAGTCACCTAGTATTATTTTGAGGTCTTATAATTACAAGCATAAAGAACCAAACAATACTCCTTTTTTTCTATTATTTGTATCCAGATTAAGCCCCTGTGAATGTGACACAATAAATACCTGACAAAGCTAAGTTGACTTTAAGTTTTAAAACTGCCTAACTGGTGTTTCTTAGACAAACTTTGTCAGTAAATGGATGCATCTTTTCTATGTATATATAGTGTATAAAGCTAATAATTAAAAATACCTTTTTTATCAAACCATAAATATGTATAATAAGTTGAGGTTTTCTAGTGTTTCAGAGAAGAGATATTTCAATTAAAATAAACATAAGACTAATGCTTTTAGCTAACTAAGTGGTATCAGATAGATATTTGGATAAATAGACGGATGGATGGATAGATAGATGAATAGATTGAAATATACATATAACAGTTATTCATTTTATTTTGTAGCTTCTCTTTGGGAAACTAATCCTGGCACAATAAGAATTTTTTCCAACCAAGTTACTGCCACCTTTCTTATAGAATCTGATGAAAGTTATTATATTGGCTTTAATGCAACATATACAGCATTTAACAGCAGTGAGCTTAATAGTAAGTATTATTTATTTTTTAGCTTTTTAATTTTTAGATGCTTTAATGTTATAATGAAATTTTAAACATACCAGAATCTAAAATTTTCATGGTGTAAGTTTTTTCATGAGTATTTTTATATGCATCTTTCTCTTCTTAGAACTTAAAAAGAATGAGAAATTAGAAAATGGTTTACATTTTTCAAAGGAATCAAGTAACCAATTTGAGAAAACTTATAAACCAATATAAAATCAAATTAAAAATTTATTTGCTGAAAGCATTGCAAGTTATAAAATACTAGCATAAAACTAATTCAGAGAAAATTCTACATACACTTAATTTGGATCAAGGTATTACAGTTAGTAACAGGAGGGAGAAAAATACGGGACAAAATTTATGTGGGTGAACCAATGGAGACAAGATGTAAAACTTAAAGGACAAGAAACTTATGTTTGCTAATACGATGATGGAATACAAGAATCATATTAATGTATTAACAGCAACAAAAGCTGTTTTTAAAAAATGAAGTAGAATGCAAGAATTAAGATTAATTTTAAAAAGTAATGATTTTGTTCATGTCACTCAAGTATAAGCTGTATAAGATTAGATTATTTTCCATACAGTCTAATACGACTACTCACATTGTGGACTAAATTTGTTTTTTTGTTTTTCATTCACAGATTATGAGAAAATTAATTGTAACTTTGAGGATGGCTTTTGTTTCTGGATCCAGGATCTAAATGATGATAATGAATGGGAAAGGATTCAGGGAAGCACCTTTCCTCCTTTTACTGGACCCAATTTTGACCACACTTTTGGCAATGTGTCAGGTATAATTCACATTTAATTCATAAATACTCAAAAGGAGAGAGATATGTGTTGTTCTTCAGTTTAAAGTGAGCAGTATTAAACGCAGAAGTCTTTTTAGACTTTTTATAATTATGAAGTAAGTAAATGAAAAATGGTAACCAAGCAGTCAAGTAAAACTGAGTGTGTTTCAAAAAACATGTTGGTTTACCCTATATATTCACAAAATGTTGAAAAGTACACAGAGGCCATTAGAGACAAGACTAGGTTGTTATCCTAGACTAGCCACTTATTAAATAAGTAGACTTGTGTGAGGCAATTAACTTTTCTGAAATTCGGTCTATTTTGTCTTAATTTCATTTTCTGACTGTACATTGCTAGTGCACAGAAATAAAGTGGAGTTTTGTATATTGATCTTATACTCAGCAGCGGCCTTGCTGAATTCGTTTGTTAGCTCTGATGTTCCTTTAAAGAATTCCTTAGCATTTCCAACATACAAGATTGCATGATCGTGAAACAAAGGTAGATTTGCTTCTTCTGGGAAGCCCTATGGAAGTCTGATTGTAAAGCATGGTAATAGGATAGAGTTGTGATTTGTAAGTACATTTTTCATCTGAATGAGATATTAGAAATAGATGCCACATGGAAATGTTAGAGACAATAATATTTTGCTGAGAAACCAGAAATCATGGTGAAATATTAGAAGGTAAAGAACTTGTAGTGGGAAGATCAGTCATGAAATTATTGGAAAACATATTCATAATACCAAATATAATCACTGAAATGAGAGTTACAAATCTTAGAAGGAAAGCATAAAGAAAATTACAAAAGAAAACAGAGTGACAATTTGTGCATTTATGTAATTTTCTTAGGCAAAATTCATCCTGTAATATGACTTGCTGATAGATTACTGAAGAGAATACTATTCTATTCAAACAAATAAATGTTAAAAGCCAACTGTAACCAGCTGTAGTTCTAGGCATTAAAGATACAGGTCACATACAATCACTTCCACAAAGTCTGTCCAAAAACCTCCAAATTCAAATCTTTTTTCCCTTAAATATTCTAAGTACCTCTTCTGTTTTTCCTATCTGGTAGCATTATATTTACTCACTTATTTGTTTCTTTTTACCACAGTATTCTTTTCAGGAATAAAAACCTAGTCTCTTTTATCTTTGGATTTCTAGGACATGTATTATTAGTCCATTTTCACACTGCCATAAAGAAATACCCAAGACTGGATAATTTATTAAGAAAAGAGATTTAATTGACTGACAGTTATGCATGGCTGGGGAGGCCTCAGGAAACTTGCAATCATGATGGGAGGCAATGCAGACATGTCTTACGTGGCAGCCCGCAAGAGACAGTGAGTGTGTGTAGGAAGAAATACCAAACATACATAAAAGCGTCAGATCTTGTGGGAACTCATCATCACAAGAACAGCATTGGAGAAATTGCTCCCATGATCCCATCACTCCCACCAGGTCCCACCCTCAACACATGGGGATTATGGAGATTACAATTGGAGATGAGATTTGGGTGGGGACACAGAGCCAAACCGTATCAGGTATTCTCAGTGCATGAATCTAATTAACATGCAAAACTATTTTTGAATATGCGAAGAAATACCTACAACTTTGACACAAGTAATTTCTGAAAAAGTTATTGACTGAATAAAATAGTTTCTAAAGTAAATAAAAACTCTAAGCACATTGGCATTGTAATTTATTATTAATGGCCACTTCTGTTACAGAGATCAATATTCTTGTTTTCAGGACCTGAAAAGTAAGTGATTGATTTAATATCAATTGTGAGTGACATTTAGTTAAAGGACTTTAAAGAGTTAACTTTATCAAAATAAAAATATATCTGACTCTTCCTACTTCTTTAGACAATGGCATCCCTAGAATATCAAAATATGGTTCATCACACTATTTTAACTTAATAAAAATAGTTTTAGTGAAAAGTGACTACTTTTAACCTATCTCAGAGTCATCAGTAAAAACCCCTTCAAATTTATTATTTTTTTCTTTTATTTAAGGAGCATTTTTTGAGCTCCAGGCCTTATTCAAGTCATTCAGAATAGATCTGTGAACAAAAATAAACCATATTTTCTGCTCTCATGAAACACAAATTCTAGCAAAAAAAAAAAAACAGTAATTAATTGTTTCTTGGTGTGTTAAATGTGAATAATTACTTTGGAGAAATGTGAAGGTGTGTAAGATGGTGGGGAGGGCAGGGCTAAGACATTATTGCGAGTTAAAAGAGGATGGTCAGTAAGTCTCATGGAAAAAGTGACTCTTGAATCAAAACTTGAAGGAATTGAAAGAATTAGCCACACAGATTATTCCAGGCAGAGGGAACATGAGTGTTGGAAGATAGTTTGTGGGAGGGCAAGAGTATTGAAAAGAGACTGGTGGATGACCATTGCCTAACCAGAGAAGAGGTCATGAGACTCAGATCAGTGGGAGTGATGTAGTAAGAAAAGGTCAGATTCTGGATGTATTTTTTAACTGAAACTTACAGGATCCAGCTAAATGAGTCACCAGTGTGAGCCTTCACATAAAAAATGTGCTCCACGTAAATGGACAATCTCATAAGACAAAAATGTTTAGTATTGAAGATGATATGAATACTCTCATACATAATTCATCTTCTTTGAAGAAGTTATTTCCCAGAGCCTGATTCTCCATGGGAAAATTACTAATTGCACAGCTGAAAACTAACCCCTATGTGATAATCACCCTAAGCCTCTGAAGGGGTCTGGCCTAAAATAGTCAAATAATCTAATCTTTGTTTTTCTCTTTTCCGTAATAAAAAAAGTTTCTACTAGGAAAGAGTAGTTAGAGGAAAGTGCAAAAAGCATTTATATCTATTGACTATGACAGATACCTTTTATGTAGTTTAAATCTTTGATGTTCAAATTATCATTTTTCTACTTTTATGTCATCCTAATAAGAGATAAAATAACTCCACTGATATTTGAAGAGTATAAGTACATTACAGGAGAAAATGGTTTTAGATTGCCAACAGATTAAATAAGTATGGTAATAAGATGAAACTGACCAAAGTGAAACAGGTTGAATGTCAAGTGGAGGTTTTAAATAGTTGGGTCTAAAATGAGGTCTCAGGAGAAAGTGGAGTAGCAGGAGTTATTTAAAATTAGACAAGTCATATAATGAGGACAGATAATAGGGCTTAATAGCTCCTCTCCAACTCTCATACCTGTGATTTCCTAATCTACCAGTCATTCCTCTCCAAAGGGCATTTTTATTCCAGCCTGCTTTTTTATGTGTCAGAACATCCTATCTCTGAAATGAAAGAGAAGTAAATCTCTCTTGATGTTCCTCTTATCCAGGCAGGTTTGCAGTTTACGTTGTTGTTTTGTTCTTTGCCTTTATGTTAAGTGACGAAAAAGACTAAATGAAACAGATAAACCTTGAATTAATACTGCTTTAGATAAGAACACCTATGACTTACCTTTCTAGTCCATCTGAAGAACTCTCTCCTGGTGGAGGAGCGGCTTCTAAATCTCTGCACTGTCAGCAGTCAGGGTTTCTCTGTACCTCATAGAAGCAAAGGGAACTGGTGGAGAAGGTGGTGTTGAAGCAGGGCAGCATCCTGAGGTGCTCAGAAGTAGCCCATCTGTTCAGAACTCTCAGGAAAAATGAGGTTGGTAATATGGACATAGCTCAAAGAAATTGCAGTTGTTTGGATTCCTGTGGGAGGTAGTATAGTTTAGTAGTAAAAACCACTAAATATGGACCCTGGAGTCTCGGCCAGTTTTAAATCTCAGCCCTGCTATTTAGGCAAGTTTCCTAACTTCCCTTTCTGCCTCAATTCCCTTACCTGGAAAGTGGGGTTGATGACAACAGGACCTGCCATTAGAGGCATGTAATAAACATTAAATTGATAGTTATGTTTAGAAAAAACTCAGAAAAATGCCTGGCACATAGGAAGTGCTACCTAAATGTTAGGTTTAAAACTACTTTCTTTTCATGCCACAAAAGTATTCAAGAGACATAAATTGGCTGTCGTACTGTTCTAAGTCATATGCTGGGGAGGAAAATAGTTACTCTGCTCAACTTTCAAAATTATATTAGTTCTTTTAGATATCTTTATTTAATTTAGCATATAGCCTTTTCCTGAAATAAGTGTAACTTTAATGTTTTAAAAGTAATATTTTTATTTTCTTGTCTTTCCTGTGATGTTGAATTTTACAAACTAATATTACTATCTAAAATTAATAGAATCTAGCTGAATTTGGGCCATGCATCAATCTAATCTTTCAATTACATTTACTGTGTTCAGTTAATTTTACATATGTACTAACAAATCATGAAACAATTTATGTCAGCCTTTTTCCTTCTCGAGAGGGATCTCCAGGTTCTCAGGAAGTTCTACCAACTCTCCAGTTTCTGCCATCTCTGTATCAGCATCAGCACATGCTAAGAAGTTTTGCTTTTTAATTGGGATGTTGGGTGGAGAGAGGTTAGGTTCAATTCACCCCAGGAAAAAGTGATGGAAAGAAGCTTTAAGAAAAACCTAATAGTTCAAAAAAGAGATTCATTGTATGCTTAAGACAACAAAATGTATTCAATTTCCTGGGGTTTGTTTATTTATTTAGACACAGGATCACTCTGTCTCCCAGGCTGGAGTACAGTGGCACAATCATGGTTCACTACAGCCTCAAACTCCTGAATTCAAGAGATACTGCCACCTCAGCCTGGGATCACAGTTGCATACTACCACACCCAGAAATTTTTTTTTTAATTTTTTGTAGAGATGGGGCCTCACTATGTTGTCAAACTCCTGGCTTCAAGTGATCTTTCTGTCCCGGACTCCCAAATTGCTGAGATTACAGAAGTGAGACACTATGGCTGGCCAATATCCTGGGCTTTAAGCTGACTGAGATTCATTCTGAGAGCTCCAGAAGACATTCCAAGGATGTTGAAAGATTTTAAAAGAAATTATTTTTCACCATATAACTTCCCATGTGGTTATGAGAAATATCTCTTTATTTCTTTTTTGTAGAAATTTAATAAATTTAAAAGCAAAGCAAGTCTGTAACAAAAATATATTAAACAACAGACATCTAATAATATCGAGACCAAAAAAAATGAATGAGGTATCTTTTCTCCCAAAAGTTCTAACAAGTTTAAAAAGTCACATACAAACGTAAATAAAATATACAACAGGCTGGGTGCAGTGGCTCATGTCTGTAATTCCAACACTTTGGGAGGCCAAGGCAGGCAGATCACCTGAGATCAGGAGTTTGAGATCAGCCTGGCCAACATGGCGAAACCATCTCTAATAAAAATACAAAACTTAGCCAGCCATGATGGGTTGAGCCTATAGTCCCAGCTGCACAGGAGACTGAGGCAGAAGATCACTTGAACCCACAGGAGGCAGGGGTTGCAGTGAACCAAGACTGCGCCACTGTACTCAAGCCTGAATGACAGAATGAAACTCCATCTCAAAAAAAGAAAAAGAAAAAAAAATACACACACACACACATATATATATATATATATATATATATATATATATATATTACATAACAGAATATACCGAATGACACCAAAGAAGTACAAAGTGCCACTGAGAATTCAAAAGAAATAGTCCATTTTAATTGGGAGGCATTCTGAAGGAGATGACAATTTGATTTAAATGACCTCAAAAAATTGGTGGGATTTCAACAAGTTACAGTTGGAAGAGGAAGTGGAAGGACATAAAAGCAAATGAAAAAGAAGACCCAAAGTGTCAGAAAAATTCTAGGTGTTTGGAAATATTAAAATTATCTAATTTTGCAGAAGTGCTGCATGTAAATAGATAAATTACAAGCACAATGGCTGGAAAATGTCATTAAGGTCACAAGACGGAGCCTCAAATATCAGACTGTATTTGTATTTGGTTTAATAAGAAATAAAGAAATAATAAAATATCTTGAATGATGGGCCAATTCAATTGTGCATAAGAAAGCATTATTGAGCAATGGTGTAAGAGATGATTCCCATGAAGAGTCAGAGAACTAGCAGTGAGCTGCCCTTGGAAGTAGTGACACCAATGGTCTGTCTTCAGTAATAGTTCCATGTGTTGGGAACTATTCCATGTTACTACTCTGCCCCCCCGTGAGATAATTCAACAGACATGCTGTGTGAATGTGAGTTTCCATACTTTAATTGGAAGCAAACTGAATGTACAGCTTATTGACAGCTTCTCAAATTAAGAGGCAAACTGAAACTGTGCCTTATTAAAATTATTTAAGGAAAAAATGATAGATCATCTTGATAAAATTTAGGAGAGATATAATAGTGGCCTTTAAACTTCTGTAGAGCTAACAAATATGCCATATTGTAAATAGTCCCACAAGGCAAAATTAGATATAATAGGTGCATATAAGCTTATTTTTAAAAAGGAAAATAATTTTCTAATCATGTTGGAATGGAATGGGCTACCTTGGAATCCAATAATTTCTTCTGCATCTGACAAGTGATCTCTTCAGGAAAATGTCATATATGAAATTTAAGGACAATTAGTGGTTAGACTAAGTACATTTTTATGTAACTACAAATCTCTACTCTTAAACTTTAGCATTTTATAAAGGATTTTATTTATCTTCTAATTTGTTAACTAAAGAATTTAGCTGATATCACAAAATAGTAATTTAATGTTATATATTATTTTACTATATTCAATAATATGCTATTCTATATGGTATTTACTCTAGGAAAGATTTATAAGGTACTATAGTCTACATAATTAATCATGTTTTACCTGATCACTGACAAAAGAAACCTCATACTGTCATGTTTTGATCATACTGAAAACTCCAAATATATCACTGCTTAGTATGTGAAAAACAGATTCAAAGTCTTTCAAATTGTTTGTAACTATTGACTGTGAACATGGCCAAACATAAATAGGAGATGATGTGTGTTTTTATAATTTAGTTAATTAGGAGTATTTCTGAATAGACTAACCATTTGAGTATTTATTCATGGTATTCAGTAGTATTTTAATTATTTCTTCCCCAATTATGTTCTATGTAATGAAAGGTAAGGTAAATTCAAAAGGGATTTGGAGTTACACATTTAGAGAGTGGATTCTGGGACCTCTTTTCAATATCTATACCACTCTTCTCCATTCAGTCATACAATCAGAGCTCTAACAAAATAGCTAAGATATGTACCCATGAAACAATACAGCATTATATAAAATAGAAGTAATGTGTTGATAATATAAAATGTTAAACACATTATTTTACAGTTTGTCATCTAAAGCAAAGAATGTGTACATATTATATTTATTAAGCCACTTGTCCATAATTCCACCTTGATAGAACACTCAATAATTTTTCTTTCGTTGGTCTAAATATGCATTGATATATCTACAGGTAGTTCCACTAGCTTCTTTCCTTTATGCCTTGTTCTTACTTTGCATCTCACAAATGAATGAGTTTAAAGCTTATATGCAACATTGCCGACATTTTTCTGTTGGAAAGCACAAGGGAGAAGATGCTTGATTTCAAGTAAACACTAAATCTCAGCATTTCATAAACAATTGCATTCCAATCAAATTAGATTAACTCAACAATGTATTTGCTTTATGTAATATTTCATTGCATGAGTCTTGCTCCCTGTCGTAATATGTGAGGAGCAAACTAAGAATAAAATAAATTCCCCTTAGACAATGTTCAAGATGTCCTTATCCCAACAACTCTTCACAAACTTCAAATGACTGAAATCACTGGTTGGAATAATGAATTTTAGACCAAAAAGCACTTTATGCAGTGGCTTGTGCTATTTTTGAAGCTTTTATACGGATTAGCATGCTTCCTGCTCCTCGGTGATGTGATCAGTTATCATTGAAAGGAATAAAGGAAGATAAGACTTTTAAAATAAGGCAACTTCTTATTTGGAGATATAAAGTGTTCAGTGAAATATAAAACTGAAAGTCTTAGAAACTTTTAAATTTGCCTTCAAATTTGTATTTAAATATGTGTGTATATTCTGAGTTAGCCCACCAGCATGTCTAAATATCCTCATTTACTGATTGTCTCTAAAGATGTGAATTAATCAAAATGTCTAGTAAACAAGAATGAAGTCAGGAATTGAACTAGATAATTTAGTGACTCATAATAAGTCAGAATTTTATATGTCCTTGGTGACTCTACTTCAAGGCTCTTGTTTAATGAAGTGGGAGGCCCAGTGTTAAGCTATTTTTGTCAATAACAATCTGCTATGGCAAAAATGCTGCTTTTTGAGCTCCAGACTAGTGTCCTGACCACTACATCAAAATATGTTTCCTTATCCTTTCCTGCTTACAAAGTCTACATGTCACACAATGAAAATGCAATACTTAAGTGAAATAAAACTTCTTTTGTTATTTTTATAGGATTTTACATTTCTACTCCAACTGGACCAGGAGGGAGACAAGAACGAGTGGGACTTTTAAGCCTCCCTTTGGACCCCACTTTAGGACCAGCTTGCCTTAGTTTCTGGTATGTTGTAGACACCTGTTTAAATCCTGTCTTATTTCAGTTATTTATTGGTACTATTGCCTTGCTAAGGCCACCAGGCTCATATTTCACTAAAATGTTAGCTAAAGTTTTAATGCATATACTATACTTTCCCAATTGGCAAGCAGCAAAACATTGATAGACTCCCCTCCGCATCTCCAGCAACTCAAAAACCCAGGAGGAAAAGGTGTTTCAAAGAAAGTAAAGAATTTATAAAAGCTCTGAAATGGACTTATTCCAATGCAGTAAAAATTCAAACATTTCTGCTTGTTTCCAAACTAGGTATTACATGTATGGTGAAAATGTCTATAAATTAAGCATTAATATCAGCGATGACCAAAACATAGAGAAGACAATCTTCCAAAAGGAAGGAAATTATGGGGAAAATTGGAATTATGGACAAGTAACACTAAATGAAACAGTTAAATTTAAGGTTTGCAAAGCACTTTGTCATTTAAATTTGTATACTTTTTGTGATAATGCAATTATATTTAGAATGCAGTGAAAAAAATAATTTTGTTTTCTGAAGATAATCAACTCATTTTCTCTACTTGTGCAATCTACTTCATATCTTATCTTTGAGTATTTTTTCAGTTATTTATTAGCTTATAAACCATTATAGAGGCACAATGTACTAATGGAAATACAGCTTATAATGGTCCATAAAATATATTGAAGCCTTTTAGAGTATTTCAGCTTCCTTCAGCACCTTTCCAGCATAGGCCAACCATTTATATCTATGTCGTCTGCCTACCTACATTTTTCAACTCTTCACAAATACCACCTAGGTCAGCCCTGCCCTTTTCTATGTCTGTGCTCATCAGCATCCACCCACTCTGCCCAACTCTGATTTAATCTCCACATATTTCCTTTAGAAACAAAGTCTATGAGCTGTATCATTGGGAAGTCTCTGATCATTTACTTCACATTAAGGTGAATTAATTTTTCAAATAACACTTTAATGTGTTCTCTTCCTGAGGGTCTTTGCAATTAAAATATAGCATAATAGAGGCTACTAGTTTGACCAAATTAATAATGTTTTAAATGGGTAATTTCAAACAAGAGAGCATCACTTTCAGACTTTGTATATTTGGAGAGACACTGCCATCATCAAAGGCTTCAGATTTTCCCCATGACTTGGTGTAAGGTAGGCAATAATGAATGATTCTCAACTGTGTGCCTCCCATCTTTCTTTCCTTCTCTTCCTTTTCCCTTCTTCCTTCTGATTTGATCCTTTTATGGGACATTTCCTCTCCAATTTTGTTTTCTGGTAATTCAAAAAGGGCAAGGGAAAATGAAATGGCCAGGGAACAAAGAAAAAGCAAAAGTGGGGAAGTCAGCATTGCAGTGACCAAACTTGGCTACACTCACTGAGCATCTTTTCTAAGGTAATATAATTAGATCCATTTTCTCACAGCTCATCAGGTGATGCAAGAGTGTCAACTTCTACAAATGCATGCACTTTGGCTTCGCCATTTTGTTGTGAAATCATGAGCAGGTCACCATAGTCTCCTTGAAATGTAATTAGGTCATATGTGTAAGGAAGAAAATAATACTTGGAATACTGTCTAGCATGAAGGAGGTGGAATGAATAAACAAATGAGTGAATAAATGAGTGTTGAAAATTAAATAAGATAAATGTATATATACCATGTGCCTAGCATAGCAATTAGCTTATAGCAGACATTCAATTTATGTCTTTCTTCTCCTACATAGCACAGTGCCAGGAAAGTACAGCTAAAATATCCACTGTCCCTGAGAACCTAATACGTTACCTCTGACCTCTGGACCTTTCTTCAAAGAGTCTGGTTCTGTGTCCTCTGGGCATCATCTTTACAAAATATTCCACATCAACATCCTGGCTGAATTGTGACCAGTAACAGCTGGCCCTGAATGATTATTCTACACTCATACTTCTTTCTTGTCCCCTTCATCTCCATGTAAATTATCTAACCAGTGTGTTTTCTCTTCAGCCTTGTATGCTCTAAGAAGGCAGAAAGCCACCTGAATGTTTAATATTGCACAAAGAAGAAATTTGGGAGAAAATTACTTTCTCCTGACAGATGATATGTATGCATGACAGATTACAATGGAGTATGAAAATATCATAAGAGAGGCAGAGACAGACTGAGAGACAGAAACTGTAACAATATTGCCTAACTCAGAAGGAAGACACCATTGGAAATTTAGCCAGCATGATACATAATAAAAGTGTTGCGTTCAGCAGAAGGATTTAAAAAGCATGATCTGTCAATGTAGTTAGAGGTGACAATATTGATTCTCTAGAGGACATTGGACTCACAAAAAGAATCAAGTCAGAGAAGATTAGAATGGAGTCAAATCTTTTCATATGCCTCTCTGAATTGCAGGTTTCTTTTGATGCTTTTAAAAACAAGATCCTGAGTGATATAGCATTGGATGACATTAGCCTAATATATGGGATTTGCAATGAGAGTCTTTATCCAGAACCAACTTTGGTCCCAACTCCTCCACCAGAACTTCCTAGTAAGTAACCTTCCTGTGTAATTTGTCTTATTAAACAATTAATGTCAGGTGTGGAGGCTTACAGCTATAATTCCAGCACTTTGAGAGGTGGAAGCAGGAGGATTGCTTGAAGCCATAAGATTCGAGACCAGCCTGAGGAATATAGCAAGACTCTGTCTCTACAAAACAAAACAAACAAACAAAAATTAGCTGGACATAGTGGCACATGCCTGTAGTCCCAGCTATTAGAGAGGCTGAGGCAGGAGGGAGGGCCTGTTTAACATGACAGATTCTGTTGTGAGCTGTGATCATACCACTGCACTCCAGCCTGGGCAACACAGTAAGACTCTGTCTCTAGAAACACACACACACACACACACACACACACACACACACAAATAATTATTTTCAGGTAAATCTTCCTTTGGCTTATTTTCATTATCTCAATATACGATTATTCTTTTTCCTGAAAATCAAGGACTTTAAAATATAAGCCAATTGGAGGCTAGCAAAATATTACATGTTGCACATAAATCCACAATGAAAATCACTCAATTCTTTGTTTTGGAGGATATTAATGATCATTTTAGTATCTTTTTGTTTCTGAATGTAATAAAGGTGCTGGTTTCCATTTTGTTTTCACTGCAATACAAACAAATGTTGTATTGGCCATGTGACATGGTCTGTAGTCTCTGGGGAGGGAGACTTGAGGTTTTTGTGGCCTTCTTACAGAGTAATTTTAAGAGTTTATTTAAGTCTGAAACCCACTGTTTCAGTCTTAACTACATCTATTTTTAAATAATCTAATAACAATGACCAGTCAAGCCTAGACTTTGAACATACAGACCCATACCACCCAAAATATTTTTGTCCTAAATAGTACCTGTATTAGTCAGGGTTCTCTAGAGGAATACAACTAACAGGATAGATGTATATATGAAAGGGAATTTTTAAGGAATATTGACTCACATGATCACAGGTGAAGTCCCACAATAGGCCATCTGCAAACTGAGGAGCAAAACAGCGAGTCCAAGTCCCAAAACCTCTGAAGTAGGAAAGGTGATCATGCAGCCTTCAGTCTGTGGCCAAAGGCCTGAGAGCCTCTGGCAACCACTGGTATAGGTCCAGGAGCTGAAGAACTTGGAGTCCAATGTCTGAAGGCAAGAAGCATCCAGCATGGGAGAAAGATGAAGACTGGAAAACACAGCCAGTATAGTCCTTCCATGTTCTTCTGCCTGCTTTTATTCTAGCTATGTTAGCAGCTTATTAGACGGTGCCTACCTAGACTAAGAGAGGATTTGCCTTTCCCAGTCCACCGATTCAAATGTTAATCTCCTATGGCAACACCGTCAAATACATACCCAGGAATAATACTTTCCATCCTTCAATCCAGTCAAGTTGGCACTCAATATTAACTATCACAGTACCTTTGTAAGGCTTTGGAATATGTTCCCTTTATGGAGCCACTCGTGTTATTAGTGAGAAGTAACCACAATTCACAATGTCCTATAAGATCTTTTAACTCAAAATAACCAAATAGAATCTATGTCTACTTATGCTCTTAAGTCAAATTGAAAGCATGACATTTCATAACAAAACCCATTACCATTCAAATCATCCATGTCAAAGAAGATACTCACTTCATACTACTTTCAGATTAGGAGTTTGACAGAAAAACGAAGAAAAACCAAAATACCTATGATAATAAATAATAAACATCCATTTACTTTCTTTTCTTTTTTTCTTTTTATTGAGACAGAATTTCACTCTTGTTACCCAGGCTGGAGTGCAATGACGCAATCTTGGCTCACCACAACCTCTGCCTCCTGGGTTCAGGCAGTTCTCCTGCCTCAGCCTCCGGAGTAGCTGGGATTACAGGCACGCGCCACCATGCCCAGCTAATTTTTTGTATTTTTAGTAGAGAAGGGGTTTCACCATGTTGACTAGGATGGTCTCGATCTCTTGACCTAGTGATCCACCCGCCTCGGCCTCCCAAAGTGCTGGGATTACAGGCATGAGCCACCGCACCTGGCCCCATTTACTTTCCATAAGTATTGTTTCACTACACTGTTGTATTTATGCAAAAAGCAATGCCTTTTACTTCGGATTGTGGTTGTTGGAACCTGATTTAGCTCTACAGCTTGACTTGAGTTAAAACACATGTATGTCTTGTTTTGTCATGGATCTGATCCCACAAACACAGCACTTTTTCCATTTCTCATTTTCTTCTAAGCACACTTAATACTTTTAGCAAATTTACATCAGCAAATCAGTTTGGAGAGCCAATCCAAATTTGGTTTACTTCTATACTGTATATTTTTTTGCTTCTAATCTTCAAGTAAACAAAAAAAAGCAGACTTTTCAGATGAGTGACTTTAACGATGAAAAGACTCTAATGATTAATCATGGGTTTTTGAGAACATGAAACAAATGAGCTCTCATTAGGTTGAAGATACTTATATTGTCATATTGGTCCCAGGCCACCATATTGAATGAGTACTTACATTCCACCAGAAGACTGGTTAACTTTAACCAGCTTGTGTGTTAACATGTTTAGGTGTTTACTTGAGTGATGTATAAATTACTCAATATTTAAACATTCACTGAAATTTTATAAATATCTGCCATCTATAAAACACTGCAGATGAAATGTAAGATGCAGCAATAACTATTAATACGTGAAAACATCATATATATAAATATTTAAAATAATGTATAATTATGTGCCCCTAAAAGTAATATATGAGACAAGTGAATGATAGAGGACTTTGGAGAAAAAAAAATGTGAGCAGAAGGCTTTAAGGAAGTGTGCAGATAAAAAAATGAAATGATACTTATAAAATTGAAGCAAAAGCAGAAAAATACCATACATTCTCAGGTAATAATATTGGTCATAAAATTGTGGCAAGAAGTGAGTTCTTTCACAGCAAACTCTAGGTCTAATTTACCTTTGCTTTGCCAGTGTATGACTGATACCTAACATCACATAAATTGGTTATAAGTAAACACTATTAGGAATAGACTAAACTTCTCTCTCCTTTCTCTCTCCATTTATCTCTCTCTCTCTATTTTGGATGTACTCTTATTTTGGTGAGATGAAATTTGTGCTAAACAAATTTTGGCACCAAAACTAAAGCTTGGAAATGATGATAGGGATAGATTTCGAATAAAAACCAACATAAATGCTGTAGTTTTTGATTTGTGACTTTGTTTGAAAATAATTGTCTCACTTCATTTTGTGTAGGTGACCTACACCCTACCTATTTATGAACAGTTTTTTGCAAGAACGACATTCAGCATCATTAAAATCATGCTGGTTTGATAAATAATAATAATTCCTGCAGATACCAAATATTAGCAACATTTTGCTATTTCAGCCATTTAAAATGATAGATTTTTCTTGATAATTCTTTCTGCTAGTCTGTTCCTCTATTCATAAATAATAAAGAAGAAAAACTTTCCGGGAGGAAATAGCAGTTTCGTACACCTGATATTTAAAACATAGCAACATCTTATTACTACCTAAAATAAAAATTTGAGATAACATTTTATATCATATCATACAAAGAAATAAAATTTTAAATATGGTTTCCTAACTTAAAAATCTATCTATATGATCCTTATAGTCTCCATATTTATATTCCAGTCTGAAAAAGATAGCACCTTGATGTCAAGAGAGTTTGGTGTTCCTGTCTTTTAACAATAGGGTATAATGAAAGAATAACCCCTCTGATTTGAAAATATAAATTTCAGAATCTACCCAGAGTTTATTTGTTCCAGTTTCCAAATGGTTCACTTCAAGATAATATTTTTCACAGCAGAAAATGTTAATTACCATTAAATGTATTCTGAACAATTTCATTCTAATATCATTTGCAATTGGTTCAGTGAAATTCTTATTTGAGCAGAGCTTTTTTGGTTCCAGATCACTGACTTGTTTAAGCAGAAATAAAAGGAAACCATGGCTGACTGGCTAATAGCCTTTCTTTGGCTTCATATAGAGCACTTAAAGAAGAAAACAATCCCAGACCAGTGACTGAATAATGAAGCTCAATTTCCTCCCTCTTTCCTAGGGACCCACATTGTGCCTAGTGTGAGGAAATGTAAGTTCAGTTTTCATAACCACAGAGATTCTTCCATTTCATGACTTTAATAACTTCCTGCTGCATCAATTCTACAGTTGTTACTCTGTGACATTGGTACAAATGAATTTAAATGTGGGGATTGCCCTGGGTACCTTTAAGAGAGTGAACATTTCATTACACAACGATCATGCCAATTTGCAAAACAATTTTGATGATTCATGAAGATATACCTACTGAATAGAAATGGGTGTATACAAAACAAAATCCACATTTTAGGCCCCTGGCGTATTTCTGGGGATGTTAAAACTAATTAAAAACAAGCAACAATTAAAAACCTAACTATAATATTAGATATTTCAATATTCACTCTTTATTTCCATAGTTTTTCTTTATTTTGTCATTTCTAAAGCTATTTTCTACTTCCAAATGTAAATTAAAGATAATTTTTCATGGTCAGGTCCGGTACCTCATGCCTGTAGTCCTAGAAATTTGGGAGGCTGAGTGGGGCAGATAGTTCAGGCCAAAATTTAAGATTAGCCTTGCCAACATGGCAAAACCGCGTCTCTCTTTAAAAAAAGTTAATTTGGAAAGTTTTGTATATGTGACCTTATACTTAGAGCTAAATAATCTAAGTTCAGTTCTTCATGTAGATATGACTCAATCAGAACCTGTCTACCTCTCTTGAAATTGATGGCCATATTCAGCAGAAGAGCTGCTTGCTTTCTTCATCTTTAGTATGAGTTATAGTCAAGCCTGTAGAAAATTCTATATTAACTGCATGCATATACACTTGTATCATGTGTTTGGGGCTGTTTCATTTTGTTTTAATTATTTTACCTCTAAAACTAATCGCCTGAGCCAGGCACAGTGGCACCCACCTGTAGTCTAAGCTACTCAGAAGCCTAAGTCAGGATGATGCTTTGAGGCCAGGAGTCCAAAGCTGGGGTGCACCATCATAATGACAGTGAATATCATATGCCTGTGAATAGCCACAGCACTCCAATCTGGGCAACAGAGTAAGAGTCAATCTCAGAACAAGACAAAACAAAACAAATAGCTTATGTCTTGGAGCTATCATTTGTCTAGATTTTTATTAATAACCAAATTTAGAGTACAGAGAATGAAGATCTGAACTTTATTGTTACACATTTAATAAAAATATTTGTATCAGAAATGGTCACTATAACTTGTTAATGAAAACATAAATTTGGATGAAATGAACAAAAAATTTTTATGAAAGATTTTATTTTAAATTACAACCTAAATTTTTAAAGTGCTATTTTTAATACTAAAAGATTTGCTTATCTATTACAATGATGATGAAAAACAATAGCCACTTTAATTAATTTTCAATAATTTTGAAAATTAGCCACTTTTTACATATTCAAACATCAATCAATAGGAGGTATTATTTCTCAAGCTACATCTGTTAATTCTATCACTTAAAGTATCAATCAATAATCTATTTTTTCCAACGTTCTCATTTATTCTTTTGCCATAAATATCTTTAATTAGAGCCCTCTTATTGTAGGTGAAAGCTAGGCTCTTCTCCTTTCCACTCCATAGTAAACACCTCTGCATTACCACATGTTTCATGGACATCAGAAGCTTAAGCATGAACTAAAAATGACATGCATCAAGAAAAATATCTATTCCTGACAACCACTTTGCCAATACTGCATGTAATTTACGTAGTATGTGCTGTGAAAATCCCTATTGGCATAGTAAAAAATTTATCAGAGCACAAGTGTTTGAGAGAATAGCTCCCATATAAAGAAACATGAAGGAATTTAGCACCATAAATGAGTAGAATTCCCTGTATCAGACAGGCTATTTTACTCTCATTCTCTGGGTAAGGATGTTTTACCTAAGGACACAGCATGACTGTGATATCTGGAATTACATTTCATGAATCTTTGGTTTCTCTATTAGAAGCACATGCCACATCCCCACTAGAGCAACACCATGAAAGTAAATTGTGTTATCATATTTAGAATGACTTAAAGTGTTTTTACCAATTCTTTACAGTCATTTATATTCAGAGAGCAACTGATCTATTTTATCAGGCCAAGGATCAGAGATGTCTTACTGGTCAGTTTATTTAATAAGAAATTATAATTTAAATGCATTTCAAAAAGTACTTAAGTATTTTAAAGGGATGCATTTTCCAAGACTAGCATTTAGTAGAAAAAATCCTAAGAAAACTGCCTGCCCTGACAGGCTTACCAATTACACGCGACAACATTTGAGTTCTTGTTATGTGCTCATTAACATCCTACCTACTCATCTTTAAGTATAGCACACTAAGTGTTCAATTATGTGAAAATCCAATGCATTCTCCAAATGTCAGCTATTTACTATATCAGGAATATAAAGTTTTACATTTTTTTCATGTTTCTTGAGGATAAAATATGACTAATGGTGAAAAACAAAAATACAAAAACATTTTTTTAAAAACTCACCATTGGGGCCGGGCGCGGTGGCTCACGCCTGTAATCCCAGCACTTTGGGAGGCCGAGGTGGGTGGATCACAAGGTCAAGAGATCAAGACCATCTTGGTCAACATAGTGAAACCCCTTCTCTACTAAAAATACAAAAAATTAGCTGGGCATGGTGGCATGTGCCTGTAATCCCAGCTACTCAGGAGGCTGAGGCAGGAGAATTGCCTGAACCCAGGAGGCGGAGGTTGCGGTGAGCCGAGATTGCACCATTGTACTCCATCCTGGGTAACAAGAGCGAAACTCCGTCTCAAAAAAAAAAAAAAAAAAAAACCTCACCATTGGCCACTGCTAAATTTGTGAAATAGGAAGTTAATTTTTCCCAGTCTTAAATCTGCAGTATAATATTTGTCTCTGCAGTTAGTTACACATTTCCTCCTTCATTGGTCTCATTAAGGATTAAAAGAAGCATTCCATAGCAATGTAGAATTATTAAAATTAAATATGCCATATGTATGTAGAGGTTATAGGATTGTGGTAGATTCTTCAGAAATCTTTATAAATTAGTCATGATTTCCTGTGGAGAACTTGCCCTTATTCTCCATTCTTTCTTTGGTACACATGCCTTCCTTTCCACCCCGTGCACACCCTCTTCTTCCTTCCAGGTTTACCCATCCTTGACCTTACCTGTCAGTGTATTCATCCTCTGCCCTCCTTTTTTTAATGTACATATCAAGTGCAAATTATTGACATTCAATATAAACCTTGTCTATGGCAGCATGGACCAGTTGGTAGAAATTATTCAAAGTTTAACCGACCCAATGGGAGACAGTAATGGGATGAGCTTAAGATTAACCATGATGAGGTTTTGACTTTGACACTAGGTGGATGTGTATGGCATTAACAAGCAAGTGAATATCTGTGATCCTTAGATTTTCCATTTAAAACTGAAAAAATAAAAGTAATTTCCTCATCCGCAAGATTGCCTTGAAAATCAGTACTAAGTGTGCCAGGTAGTGCATAGGAACATTTCTTAAATTATCTCTAATTTTACAACAATCTAAAATACCCTTAATATATATCTAGTAGTGTCCAAAAGACAGCCGACTCAGAGCCACAATTTTAATCCAACAAATCCTCCTCTTATACACTGCGTTCTCTCCCCATATGAGATAACGTGTATGGAAACGCTTTGCAAACAGCAAGATTTGATAAAATATTTTATTTTGAAAAGTTCATCTGGGTCTAGACAAATCCGGCCCTGTAAGGCATGTAAAACAAGACCATGCCCTAACTATTTACAGAACAGGACAGGTTGGCAAGGATCCTGTATGGAGTCAGAATAATTGTCTTCTCTGGCCCATCATATACATCATGAAACTCAAATCTAAGGAGTGTGTTACATATAAATTTTGAAGATGCATGTGAATTTCAGGTGATTTATATAAATAAGGCAGATGATATATAAAGGAGAGATGAAGGAAGAGGATATGGCTATAGACAATGTTATAAATGTAGAGACACTTGATTATTCCTCCCATAATCTGATTTCTAGTGTCTTGGGAGTAAATAATCCCAGAATTATATGCATTTAATATAGAAAAGAATATATTTATTCCAGTTGTCTGCATTCTTCAAATCAGGTTACTTTTCTTCTTCTGGTCTTATTTTAAAACATAATAATGGTAACAAGAATTAGATATAATTAGAATGTTTAAAATAGTTGATTCTTTACATTATTTAGAAATTATTTCTAATAAATCAGAAGATAAATATAAAGTATGTCAAGAATTTTATAAAGTTAATCTACCTACTTAAAGTGTTATATTCTGAGCTGGAAGATCTGTGCTCTATTGTTTTAATAAATTTGCCTTAATAAATTACCTGCCTCAACTTGGCTTCTGCACAATGTTGGCTACCAGATCAGTCCAGGGCATTTGTGACGCAAATAAGGTTTCACGTTATCTCCCTTTCCTTACTATCAATATCAGAATGATGAAGCTCTGCCTTAAGACTACCAAAGAAATAAATAAATAAAAGGGAAAATCAAGAATTACAGAATTAAATGATTTACTAGCCTTTCTCATTAGAGAGTGCAGTAAATGTTGAATTTGTTTTATTATAAGTAAACTTTTTTTTCTACACTAGGAATTTGACACCTTATTTTATAAAACCTATTTATAGAAGATATTTGACAAAAAAAACTTCCTTTGTACAAATAATTTTGGAGAAGTGCTGCACACTATCATGCTTTCTTGAAGATTCACAATGGCCATGAGAATATTAAAAATATTTTGAGAAATTCTTATCTTTTTTAAAAAAAATTTATTTTAACTTTTAAGTTCAGAGGTACAAGTGCAGGATTGTTATATAGGTAAACTTGTGTCATGGAGGTTGGTTGTACAGAATATTTTGTCACCCAGGTATTAAGCCTAGTACCCATTTGTTATTTTTCCTGATCCTCTCCTTCCTACCACTCTCCACTCTCTGAAAAGCCCCAGTGTGTATTGTTCCCCTCAATGTGTCCATGTGTTGTCATCATTTAGCTTTCACTTATAAGTAAGAACTTGCAAAATTTGATTTTCTGTTCCTCTGTTAGTTTGCTAAGGATAATGGTCTCCAATTCCATCCATGTCCCTGCAAATGTCATTGTTTTTATGACTGCATAGCTTTCCGTGGTACATATGTACCACCTTTTCTTTATCCAGTCTATCACTGATGGTCATTTATGTTGATTCAATGTCTTTCCCATTTTGAATAGTGCTGCAGTGAACAAACATGCGCATGTGTCTTTATAATAGAATGATTTATATCCCTTTGGGTACATAGCCAGTAGTGGAATTGTTGGGTCAAATGGTACTTCTGAATTTAGGTCTTATAGAAATTGCCACACTGTCTTCCACATAGTTTAACCAATTTACATTCCCACCAACAGTGTATAAATGTTCTTTTTTCCCCCCACAAACTCACCAAAATCTGTTATTTTTGACTTTTTAAAATAGCCATTCTGACTGGTGTCAGATGGTACCTTTTGCAATTTACACATCTGACAAAGTTCTAATATACAGCTTCTATAAAAAAATTTCCAACTTAAATTTCTGACAAAAAGAGAAAACAACCCTATAAAAAGTGGGCAAAGGACATGAACAGACACTTTTCAAAAGATAACATAGATGCAGCTAACAATTAGATTTTAAAAAATCTCAGCATCACTGATCATTAGAGTTCTTATCTATTTAACTGTATTTTTCTTTTATTCAAACTGCAATGTTTAACCTTACATGACTCTAAAATTTACTTCTCAAAATTTGTATTCTAAGAAATGTAATTGAAAATTCCCTGGCATATAGTATTATCTCTCTGAAATAAACATTGTGTTACTAATGATTTCCCATTGCTTTCCTTTTCAGCGGACTGTGGAGGACCTTTTGAACTGTGGGAGCCAAATACAACATTCAGTTCTATGAACTTTCCAAACAGCTACCCTAATCAGGCATTCTGTGAGTCATTTCTTCTTGAAGTCATCAGAAACAAATGTACATATTAAATTTAGCTCTTCCCTTGACGTAGCAAACATGGATTGTAAATTTGTCAAACATAGGTATAACTATCATGTCTACCTAAAAGATTGCTTAATATAACAACAAAATAACAATAATTGCTAAATAGATATAGCATTTATTTCATGCCAGACATTGTGTTAATGCTCAATATACATTATTTCATTCAATTCCCACAAGAATTTCTTGAAGGAGATATCATTATTATAATTCCAAATTTAGAAGTTGAATAACAACAGTGAGAAAATCAGTGTTACTCCAGACACTGCTGTCTTTGTTTTAAGAATTATTATTATTATTATTATTATCCTTTAAGTTCTGGGGTACATGCACAGAATGTGCAGGTTTGTTACATAGGTACACAAGTGCCATGGTGGTTTGCTGCATCCATCAACCCATCATCTACATTAGGTATTTCTCCTAATGCTATCCCTCTCCTATCACTCCACCCCTGATACCCTTTCCTAGACCCCCCCATTCCGCTTTCTAAATCACTTTCTTTGTTTGTGCATATAATGTTTATCGTGTGTTTAACGAGTTTGTAGTTTCATAGGAAAAAGACAATGGAAAGTATAAAACGTAAAGAACCAGTTGTAGCATTCGCACTTTCTGCAAATATACACTTGAGTCAAGAAAGCAGATAGCTACAGTAATGTAATTATTTCCAGAAAAAAAAATTAAAATTGTAAGAAGGATCACTAAAAAAATTGGTCTAGAGAAAATAGTTTGCTAAAACTGCATAAAGACTACCTCTACCTAAATGTTCCTAAATAGAGAGATTCCTATAAAGATACGTAAAGACTGTGTTGAAGATGCAGATTCCCTGGCTCATCCTACAAAGATTCCACTTCCAGAAGTCTGGATAAGACCACTAAGCTAAATGGAGAATTCTGTCAATGAAAGAAACGCCCCAATTGCAGAAAAAATGTGTTGTCAGAAAATGCCAGCATTCTTCCTTCAGATGATCAAAAGATAAGAGAGCATCATTTTCATAGGTGCCTATAGGGTCAATATTGTAGACAGATACCTGATCCAAAATAATAAACAGCAACTAATCTAATTTTACTTGTTTGGGGAAATAGATTATTATCTCTGCTTCACACTGAAGACATCTATTTTTTTATTCTTATTATGCTGTGATTTATTAAAGAGTATTGCCTTGACTGAAGAATATGTTTAAATATTTTGTGGAAGGCAAAGCTTTCATCCAGGAATGGTAAGTGCAAGAACTATAATTCTAAAGAAAAGGAGAATAGCAATTTAAGTTTAGGGACAACTGGAAGCAACCAGTAATGATTTACTGCTTTTGAAAATGTTCAGGCACTTAGTGGTCAGTGTTCCTTTTATACATTATGACCCATGGGAATGATATCAGGATCTTCCATTCGATTATTATGAGTTACAGGTCACCCATCAGTGACCTGTGGTTGCAGTGTTAGGTATCAAAAGCATAATACATGCTTAGGTTAGAGTGAAGGACCTGTTAAGTCTAAGCTTAGGGGTAGAATTGTCAATGATACAGTCATACCTGTTACACAGTTCAAGTTGACATTTCCCTGTATTCTTGGAAGAGGTAAGTTAAAGAAGGTTGTGTACAGTTGTTGACATTTTGTTATTACAGCATTACCTTTCACGCCACTTGGTAGTCATTGAACATGTAAGAGTAGTTGTTCTGTATGGTCTTGTTAATTTCTTTTTCTTTGTTTGATATGCTTTCTTTTTTTTAATTGTACTAAGTCCTAGGGTACATATGCAGATCTTGTAGGATCTTTTAAACATGATTTGAACAAACGGATAATCTGAAGAATCCAACAAACAGTAGAACATGGAAACAATTTGGAGAAATCTATTAAATTTAAATATATTTGTTTATTCAACAAATATGTATTAAATACTTTATTTCCTTAGTCTGAAATAAGTAAAGAAGACACAAATGTAGCACAGTATAGATGGTGACTCAGATATGTTGTCAGGCATAAAATGTCCAAAATACTATTATAATAAGGGTAAAGGCAGGACTCTGTGGAGAGACATGGAGTGTCCTTGACATGCCAAAGTAGGAGACACCTATTTCTTGAATCTCCAAGGAAAATTAAACAATGATAATTGGTTAAAATAGAAGTGTAAAGGAATTTTGCACCATATTATGAAGTTTGAATTTCATTCTGAGAGCACTGGGGAGTCTTTGAAGAATTTACAGGAAAATGGTGGTAAAATCAAGCTTGCATTTTAGATAAGAGATTGATGGTAAGGGATGAGAGCCATCAGCATCACCAATTAGGAGATGGGAAACAAGAGTGATTTGAACTCTGGTAGTGGTGGCAAAGGACGTTGAGAAGTAAATGGGACTCAAAGAAAATAGGAGGTAGTATTAACAGGCCTAGGTGATTGATTGGATGCACTAGGAGAAAGGAGGACAAGGAAGGTGCTGAGGTTTCAAGCATAGAGAACTGTGAGTGGATGATTAGGAATGCCACTGAGATAGGAAGAACTAGAGAAATGAGTTTGCAAAAGAGATAATTCTGCTTTTCCTTTAGAACATGTTGGATTTGAAATATGTACAGCCATATACAGTAAATAAATGGATAAATTTGTCTGCATCTCACAAAAGTGCAGAAAATAAAGACTTAGATGTGGTTACTATATGAATATAATTATATTTCTTAGGAGTGAATGAGAATACTAATACATAATAAGAGAAGAATGGCCTAGAAAAAAAATCTGAAGGTTAAATCATTTAAGAAATCAATAAAAACAAGGAGTGTTTCTTGATGTTTGTCATTTTGTTTTGTTTTAATAAACTAAATGTAAATAAATGCAAAAATTTTAAAATAAATATTAAAGCTTACTTGTCCTACAAATTGCATTTTAATTACCTAATTTTCCTCTAAATTGGATCATGGTAAATTAAATGAATGAAACTATAATTTTAGTATCTTTTGATATTTGTAAATATTATATTGTAGGGATAAAATAATATTTGCAAACTTTGATTAAATCACTCCATTTTATAAAAATGATAATTCTACTAAATAATTTCAAATTTAATTGAAATATTACTATCAATATTATTGAGTAAACCAATATATTTTTCTCACCAGAAAAAGAAAAAAGAAACAGCTTGAAATACTTGTCCTCCAAGTCCATCTGTGTCATTTCAAATGACAGAATTTCATTGTTTATTATGACTGCATAATATTTCATTGTGCAAAGATACCATTTCTCTCTCCCCCTTCATCTATTTATGGACTCTTAGGTTGATTCCATGATTCTCAAGAAATGGAAAAAAGTTGTTTTCTTTTCTTGGAAAGTTATTTAAAATCCTCAAGAAAGTGAGTTTAAAAGAAATCAGAATTGTGTTCCAAATTAAATGTTACTTCTTACTTTTAAGGTGTTTGGATTTTAAATGCACAAAAAGGAAAAAATATACAACTTCATTTTCAAGAATTTGACTTAGAAAATATTAATGATGTAATTGAAATAAGAGATGGTGGAGAAGCTGATTCCTTGTTTTTAGGTAAGTTTGAAATATGAATAACATAAAGGTTGTACAGCTCAAGATAGTTGTACTTAGGGAAAAAGAATTTTTTTTTTTTGAGACAGTCCTCTCTGTCACCTAAGCTGGAATGCAGTAGCTCAGTCTCTGCTCACTGCAACTTCCACCTCGCAGGTTCAATCAATTCTCCTGTCTCAGCCTCTTGAGTAGCTGGGATTATAAGCATGCACCACCATACCTGGCTAGTTTTTGTATTTCTAGTAGAGAGAGGGTTTCACCATGTTGGCCAGGCTAGTCTCAAACTCCTGACCTTAGGTGATCCACCCACCTCAGCCTCTCAAAGTGTTGGGATTATAGGCATGAACCACCACACCCAGCCAGAAAGAGCATTTCTTAATAAATTTAATCCCTCTCTTACAACTTGCAAAATGAAAATACAATAATAGAGTGATATGAGTTTATGTAGAGCTTACAATATAGGGCATATTTAAAATAGTGAGAACATAATTTTTTGAGCATTCTTTACAAAGCAGGACTAATTATTTTTACTTTTTAAATTCATTTTTAATTTTCATGGGTAAATGGATGTATATATTTATGGGATATGTGAGATACTTTGATATAGGCCTACAATGCAAAATAATCACATCAGTGTAAATAGGGTCTCCAACACCTCGAGCATTTTTCTTGTCTTTGTATTACTCTTTTAGTTACTTTTAAATGTTCATTAAGTTACTATTGACTGTGATCACCCTGTCGTACTATCAAATACTAGATCTTATTCATTCTAACTATATTTTGTATCCAGTGATCATCCTTACTCCCCCACCCTTCCCAGTACCCTTTTCAGCCTCTTATAACCAACATTCCACTCTCTATCTCCATGAGTTCAACTATTTTGGACTAATATTTTTGAGCCATCAGTTCTACTAGACAGTATTAATTGACTACCATAAGCACTACACATTGGAGACCAGAAGCTAAGGATGCCCATTTTGCAGTTCTCTATGCATTATGTGTACATCAGATGTATTCTGTAGATCATAGAATACATGCTGGCACACTAAAAAGCTATCAGTCGAACATGCTAGCTAATACACTACTTAACTGCCACTGATTTTTAAGAAAAAAGATGTCTTTTGATAAGTCACACATTGAATAAAAATGCTCAAATGATCAATTTTCATGAATGAAATGATACCACTAAAAAGTGTTTTATCTAACGGTACTTTGAACTTATATTCATCATTCATTGTAAATCTGATCTGATAGATATGCAATCAGGATACAATCACATGAACGCTGCAACTAATCAATGAAGACTCCAGAGAAAATTTTCTAGAACAAATGAAGGGACAGTGTGGTGGGGAGGCTTCCCCAACCTTTTCATCAGTCAGCCCTTATATGGAATTCTGCAGCAAAATCTCACAAAGTTCTAGAGTGTGAGCTTGCTGGGGGAGGATTTTGGGAGCCACCCATAGAGCAAATAATGCAAAATGTGGCTGGCAAGAGGTGGCAAGAGCTGAGGAATCTGAAATTTGTTTTTGTCTACACTTATAAAAACTTTTAAACAGTTTTCTCATTTTAGGTCAAATTATTTTTCTAATAAAAATTTCAGACTTCTTATCATCTAAAAAAATGTATCAATTCACATGTTAGTATTTAAACAAATCATTGAAAAGTAAGTAAGAATTCCAGAAAGATCTCTGAGTCCTAGTTTAAAATTTGTAGGCAGGAATGTCTTTTGAATCAGAATCATTTGTAAGGCTTTCAATATGTAAAACTTTTTTAATTAATGTATTTTTTAATTAACTGAAGTATAGTAAAGAATGTTTTATTGTTTACTATAAACAATTTTAAAAAGCCAAGGAATTTGGCAGAAAATGTTTAGAAGTCACCATGTAATTTGTGTAGTTTATGATTCAACGCACAAAAAAGTACTGATTACATTTGGTCAAAAATTTAATAAAGGTGACTATAAACTCCATTGATTTATAGAGGTCTTTATAAGTAGTTAGTCATTTCTTTGGGATAACATGAACTTTGAATAGCAGTGGTACTAAGCCAGATATAAGTAACTCATCATTAAATTATAAAGCTGCAGAAACCTCAATATCAAAAAAATTAAAGAGAAGTTGGCTTTGTTGAAGCAGTGTTCAAAATGTAAAAGAACGTGTGCATTCATTTACTGTGGCTACTATATGAACGAGCCATGTAGCATGTAGCCCTACATCCGGCAGATGGAACTGAGAACAGGGGTGCATTTCCTTCTAGACCCAAAGGATCATCTCACTGATTATCTCATTTTCCTTTGGAACAGCTGTGTACACAGGGCCTGGTCCAGTAAAGGATGTGTTCTCTACCACCAATAGAATGACTGTTTTTCTCATCACTAACAATGTGTTGGCAAGAGGAGGGTTTAAAGCAAACTTCACTACTGGTTATCACTTGGGGATTCCAGGTAAGAGCCCATAAATCACACATTGCATAGTAACTTTAGGAGCAAAACAGCAAAGGTATACAGAATGTCAAGGCCAAGAACACATTTTAATGCTTTCCTTCTGTGACACCCATTCTTCCCCATCTTAATGAAGATCATCTTTCTTCTTTTACATCTATATTACCGCTACTTGAATTTGTTCAAAGTAGGAAGCCACAGAGGTTTTTAGCAGACCTACTTGCACTTCTCTGATGTGTAAAGAAGGTTGAATTTTGTGCGCTGAAGATGGACATGTTAAATGTTAAAAGTAGAATACTTGACTCTCTAAGGAAGAAAGTCTGTCATGTTTCCCATGTCAAGAACGTTTTAAGAGAACAAAGAAGGAAACAGGCAAGAGAGCTGTTGGTGTGCCAGCAACATTCAATTAAGTAACTAACATCATTAACTTTGAAGACAACCAGAGGAAAGCACTGCAGTGGAGAAATTTAATGCTGTTTGCTGGCATGCCCAACCCTCCAACCCTGGGTTTTTTTATTATATCCATAACATAATCAACAGGAGCAAACAAAATAGTGCCATGTTCGTCATGGATATTTATCTTCATATATCCAGTATATAAAGGTTTGCATTCAACAATGTACAGAGCATTTTTTTATAACTTGCATTCAACAATCTACAGAGCATTTTTTATAACTTGGACTATGACTTGTCTGGTAGAACTGCCCCACAACTCAGTGGTTCTTTCCACGTGCAAACATGTCAGAAAAACAGAATATATGCTACTTCCTACATCTCTCCTTCCCTTCCATAAAAATATTTGTGGTATTGATGTCTTTCGCTTGAATATCGAGAGAAGAGGTAGAGTTGGATAGTTGATCTTCATCTGCCTGTTATCTAATACCAAATCCAGCTACTATTAGGGTATGTTTATCTTTGTTCCTCCACACACAATTGACCAGGACTTTTGATTCTCTCCCAGAAAACTGTCCGCTTTAATCTTTATGTCAAATAATTAAGTGGTCTACCCTCTAGCCCTGAAAATGAACCACAATTGTTATTATCCATGCTACTTAGGTAGAAGTAAGTAGTAGCTCAATCAATTAATCTGGATTTTGTGACTGATTTTAGAAGACAGTCTTTTTACTTACAAGCAACAGTGACATGGATCAATAAAAAATAATTAATTAGGAAATGCTTTAAGATCTACATAAAATTATAATTTATCTTAGAGTACATTAAAAAGAAGAAATATAGAAAATGGCATGATTTTGTTAGGTAAAGAAGAAAATACATTGAGATGAAAATAGCAATAGACATGTATTTGCGCATGTGTGTGTGTGTGTGTGTGTGTTGCGAGAATTTAACTTAGAAGAAAATTTGATCATTGCATTGGAAAAAATTAATCAAGATAATTTTGAAAATGTCATTTTGAATTGAATCACTGATTTTGTTTCTTGATGATTTTGTTGCTGCTGATTATACTATAACCATGTTTGTTTGCCAATTATTTTATCTGCTATTTCAGTGTCCTCTTTGTGATGTACCTGTTATTTTAATTTAATTCAACATCTGAGTTATAAAGTAGAGATGGGTGATGGACATAGATGAGGACATTTTGGTAGCTCATGTTAGCACTTTTAAGATAAAACAGACTTTGGTTGTGTAATGTTTGAAAAAAGCTAAATCTCTCCTATTGTTATATAGAAAGTAAATTAGTTACTTTAATATCTAAAATTATGACCCTAATTTTTTTAACTATTATATAATTTTTGGATCCTGCTAGAACAGTCTTTGCTCAGTACTGGCTCCCACAAGTGACATTACAATAAAGTCTCCTCTCAAGAAATTTGGAAAAAGATGACCACCTTTGGCCAGAGCAATTTTCTTGAAACTCTGCCGTAATCAAATCTTTCTGATTTGATTAGAGGCCTTTGTTAGTAGTGTGAACCACCTAGTTTTTTGGTATGTTGCATAACTATTCAAAACCTCTTGTGCAGAACACCCACATTTCCACAAAAATTGCTGAAGGAAACCATAATGAGGAATGAAAAAACAATAAGTAAAGAGGATGGAAACATATGAGAACGTGTAATGGGCAGGAAAAAGAACCAAACCCCATTTGAAAACAATAAACTTTCCTGAAATTGAAAAAATAAAAGCGATCAAAACTAATAGTGAAAGAAACAATGAATAAAAAATTATATGCTTTTCAAATCTGACTAAAATTACCTGAAAAATCATGAAGTCTCAGTGCATTCAACAAAAAAATTAATAAGCAGGAATCAGTGTTATAACATTTTCTACACGAAGTTTTAAATCTCAAGAGAGAAATTTTTCTGAAAATTCCTAGTAGAATAAGTATAATTATTTTTGTAGATGTTGAAAATAAGATAATCTTTATATTTCTCTCAGTTATGAACATTAAAACAATGAAGTGTTATTTCTCATGTTTTAAGGAGAAAAATGGCACAACTGAAAAATATACAAGGGTCAGTAACTTGTGTATTTAAATACAGTAAAATTTAGGCTGGACTAATTGACTCAGGCCTGTAATCTCAGCACTTTGAGAGGCTGGGGAGGATGGATCACGAGGTCAGGAGTTCAAGACCAGCATGGCCAATACAGTAAAACCCTGTCTCTACTGAAAATGCAAAAATTAGCTGGGTGTGGTGACACTCTCCTGTAGTCCCAGCTACTCAGGAGGCTGAGGCAGAAGATTTGCTTGAACCTGGGAGGTGGAGGTTGCGGTTAGCCAAGCTCATACCACTGCACTCCAGCCTGAGCAACAGAGTGAGGCTCCATCTGCAAATAACTAAATAAAAATACACAAATAAATGCAGTAAAACTATGTGCTCCCTTCTGCAAAATATCATAAAATAGAGCAAGTAAATCCCCAATACCTAGTACCTATTCTACTATAGGCCATCCTAAATTTTTTTCAAGAAATCTGTCATGGAAATTTTTGAAAGAGATACTATACTTTTAAAGAAATTAAGATAAATAGTAAAATCTCAATTAATTGAGATTTTATAAAATACTATGCTCTAACAGATAAGGGATTAGATTATTGATGTATCCAAACAATTGAAATCATTATAGGTGATTTGGTTTGGCTCTGTGTTCCCACCCAGGTCTCACCTTGAATTGTAATTATCCCATGTGTTGTGTAAGGGACCCAGTGGGAGGTCATTGAATCATGGGGTTGGGTTTTTCCTGCACTGTTCTAATAATAGTGAATAAGTCTCATGAGATCTGATAGTTTTGTATAAACAGGAGTTCCCTTTCACATACTCTCTCTTGCCTGCTGCATATAAGATGTGCCTGTCTCCTCTCACCTTCTGACATGATTATGAGGCTTCCCCAGCCATGTGGAACAGTGAGTCCATTAAATCTCTTTTTTTAATATAAATTATGTAGTCTTGGGTATGTCTTTATTAGCAGCATGAGAACAGACTAACACAATAGGGCATTCCATCATCAGCAAAAGTGAACGCATCTTGAAATAAAATTTTAAAGACAAAGTAACCCTTATTTTAAATTGAAAATGAGAAGGGAGTAAATATTTGAAAAGAGGCAAATTAGTTCTCAAAAGGAAGACAGAGGCAAATCTTTTTCATCAAAAAGTTATAGTTACACTTTGTTTTTTAAAGTTGTGTTTTATGGATTCATAATAATTGAACATATTTATGGACATATGTAATATTTTAATACAAGCATACAATTTACAATCATCCAATCTGGGAAACTGAAATATTCCTCACCTCAAACATTTATTATTTCTAAGTATTAGGAACATTCCAAATTGTCTTCCCTAGTTATTTTGAAATGTATCATAAATTATTAACTACAATCATTTCATTGTGTTACCAAACACTAGATTTTATTCCTTCTATGTAACTCTATTTTGGTACCCATGGAAACCCTTCTTTATCTTCCCTTTCCACTACCCTTCTCAGCCTCTGGTGACCACCATTGTATTTACTATCTTCATGAGATCAATTAATTCAGCTCCCACATCTGAATGAGAACATGCTACATTTGTCTTTCTGTGTCTATTTCACTAATCTAATGTCCTCCAGTTTCATCCATGCTGTTGCAAATGACAGGATTTCATTATTTATTATGACTGCATAATATTCCAATGTGCAAAGATACCATTTTCTGTCTCTCTCTTCATGTTGATGGACTCTTAGGTTGATTCCATAAGTTGGCTGTCAAGAATAGTATAATAAACTTAGGTGAGCAGATAGCTCTTCTATATGCTAATTTTCTCTCTTTTGGATAAATAACCAGCAGTGGTATTCCTGAATCATATGGTGGTTATATTTTAGTTCTTTGAGAAAACTCGTACTGGTTTTCATAATGCCTGTACTAGTTTACATTTCTACCAATGGTGTACAAATGTTCCCCTTTCTGTGCAACCTTGCCAACATTTATGGCTTGTCTCAAAATTTGGGGTAAATTATTTGTCTCAGACTCTTACAATGAAACAAACACAACATCAATGATTTTGAAAAATATTACAAGCAGTTTTGATTCAAGATCAAACTCAAAAACAGAGCACAATCTATTTCTCAACACGGAAGCGACACCAAGTTTATGGTGAACAGACTCTATATTTCTTTGGCCTATTGCTAGATTTCATTTACTATTTTTACATTAGCATGTAAGGTCTAAAGTTATTTTTAAGGAAAAAGTCCCTTGTTTGAAGCTAGCATGGAGTCTTCCATGCCCATCACTGCATGATGAATACATGGAGAGTGTGGTTTCACATTTCTCCTAGACATAGGACAGATGCTGCTGGGAAGTGAGTAGTGGAATGACTGAGTTGAAGCATTAGTACTGTCTGCTTCTGTGGAGGTTTTTTTTTTTTTAAATTTTTTATTGGATTTTAGGTTTTGGGGTACATGAGCAGAGCATGCAAGACAGTTGCGTAGGAACACACATGGCAGTGTGCTTTTCTTTCCTTCTCCCCTTCACCCACATTTGGCATTTCTCCCCAGGCTATCCCTCCCCACCTC